GTCTCCGGATCCTGAAAAGAGGCTTCCAGCGAGAAGTTCGAACTAAAAAAAACATTTTCCATACAATTGGATTTGAGTGGGATGGAAGAGGTGGGAGTAGGATACAGCGGACGCACACTCTTATTAACTATGGGGGAATCCGGATGTGCACTTTTATCACTGTCTGTCTATTGTGCTCAGGGCTGCAGGGGGAGTGACAGAAGGATCTTGGGGCAAATAAAGGATTAGACTGTTCCATCTTCTCAACATGCCCGCTGATGTGCATGCTTGCCTCCATGACACAAATACATGCTCAGGTTTCTCACTTTATTTACACGTTCAATAAACAGGCGGGGAAGAGGTTTGTCTGTTTTGGAATCTGTGGCAATGGAAACTTTTGGTCTTTAGAATTTTTTGGTTGGACATTGAGATATGTGCTAACATTTTCCAACCCAGCTAAAAAGACATGTTGCTCTAAATTATGATTTTTTTTTTTAGGTAGTATCTCTGATTTTAAAATTTTACAAAATATCATTGCATTGTAGGATGTTCTATAGAAACATATGGCACTGACCTGGCAGGTGTGTGATGGGATGTAAAGCAGGTGTCTCCAACCTTTTTCACCCACAGTACTATCAAAAAATGATAAGATTTTATTTTTCTAAATTTCTTTCAAAAATTGTATTGCGACCTGCTCTCCAACTGAAATACTTTTCTACAATGGAACCTTTTCTCCCTGTAATACAATTTCAAAAAATGGTTTTCTACATGAAATCTCCTCATGTTGAAAACAATGTGATATATTTCTAGCTCATGGTGACTGCCACTCCGGTGCCACTCTGCATTGAGATCCATTTTGATTTAGTTAATAACTCACTCTTCAATCGTGCACTTACTTTGCAGAATTAAATCTATACTGATAACAGACTGAAGAATCAATCAGGCCATTTTACTCTGGCAGCAGCGATCAGGACCAGGATCAAATTGACTTGTATTTAGTGAGAGATGATGAGACTCTCGAGGCACTCATAACAGCGGCTAACTTAATAGGGTTTTTTCATGTAAACCAGTATAATGCAACTTAATAGGGTTTTTTTTCATGTAAACCAGTATAATGCAACTTAATGGGGATTTTTCCATGTAAACCAGTATAATGCAACTTAATAGGGGTTTTTACATGTAAACCAGTATAATGCAACTTAATAGGGTTTTTTCCATGTAAACCAGTATAATGCAACTTAATAGGGTTTTTTCCATGTAAACCAGTATAATGCAACTTAATAGGGTTTTTTTCCATGTAAACCAGTATAATGCAACTTAATAGGGATTTTTCCATGTAAACCAGTATAATGCAACTTAATAGGGTTTTTTCCATGTAAACCAGTATAATGCAACTTAATGGGGATTTTTCCATGTAAACCAGTATTATGCAACTTAATAGGGATTTTTCCATGTAAACCAGTATAATGCAACTTAATAGGGTTTTTTCATGTAAACCAGTATAATGCAACTTAATAGGGTTTTTTTTCATGTAAACCAGTATAATGCAACTTAATGGGGATTTTTCCATGTAAACCAGTATAATGCAACTTAATAGGGGTTTTTACATGTAAACCAGTATAATGCAACTTAATAGGGTTTTTTCCATGTAAACCAGTATAATGCAACTTAATAGGGTTTTTTTCCATGTAAACCAGTATAATGCAACTTAATAGGGTTTTTTCCATGTAAACCAGTACAATGCAACTTAATAGGGATTTTTCCATGTAAACCAGTATAATGCAACTTAAATAGGGTTTTTTACATGTAAACCAGTATAATGCAACTTAATGGGGATTTTTCCATGTAAACCAGTATTATGCAACTTAATAGGGATTTTTCCATGTAAACCAGTATAATGCAACTTAATAGGGTTTTTTCCTTGTAAACCAGTATAATGCAACTTAATAGGGTTTTTTTCATGTAAACCAGTATAATGCAACTTAATGGGGATTTTTCCATGTAAACCAGTATTATGCAACTTAATAGGGGTTTTTACATGTAAACCAGTATAATGCAACTTAATAGGGTTTTTTCCATGTAAACCAGTATAATGCAACTTAATAGGGGTTTTTTCCATGTAAACCAGTATAATGCAACTTAATAGGGTTTTTTTCCCCATGTAAACCAGTACAATGCAACTTAATAAGGATTTTTCCATGTAAACCAGTATAATGCAACCTTAATAGGGTTTTTTTACATGTAAACCAGTATAATGCAACTTAATGGGGATTTTTCCATGTAAACCAGTATTATGCAACTTAATAGGGATTTTTCCATGTAAACCAGTATAATGCAACTTAATAGGGATTTTTCCTTGTAAACCAGTATAATGCAACTTAATAGGGTTTTTTTCATGTAAACCAGTATAATGCAACTTAATGGGGATTTTTCCATGTAAACCAGTATTATGCAACTTAATAGGGATTGCAAGTTTCCTAGTTTACTTTATACAATGCTATATGTTAATGATCAAAACATATTATTGAGATTTTTTTACTTTGCTGTCTAGTGAAAATTGCCGAATGCTGTGAGCGACCTAAAAAATTAACCTGTTTGTTTTGTCATTGATCATTACATTTTGAAAGGTTAAAGCTGGACTATCATGCAATACTATCCATATAACTACTTCCGAGCTCAAAACTATTTCCATTAAACTTTTATTTCTACCACTAGTTTTTATATTTTAGGCCTCTGTCACATAATTAATTTCATTTAGCTCTCAGTATGTAAAAGAAAGAAAGAAAGAATGGTTTTCTATATAAGATGAAGACGATATGTCTGTGTTCACAAAATGTAACTTTTTCTGTTTGGACAAATGAAATGAAACAAGCATAAGTTAAGTACTTCAGTGAATTGTTACAGTATAAGTTGGTCGTCAGTCACACCTCTAAGCCTAATATTGAGACATATATATTATTCTGAACTCTCTGTGGACCTGTTGTCTGTCATTCATTTGAAATATCGTGGAAAATCCCACACTTTGGAAAGAAAGCAAAGATTTGTCTCCTCTAAACTGGACTGACAGCTCAGAAATCTCCACCCAGATCACATTGATATGAATTGTAATATATTCAGTGTTAAAAGATAAGCTCCTGCGATTTCACACCAGATCAAAGACAATGATGCATTTTTCCATAGTTTTATTTGCATGTGGCATGAACACTTGCAAAAACCAAAACATTTAAACCTTGGTCCAGTAAAAAACAACATTTCAATGATTTAATACTTTGTTTTCAGCTTTCAATTCTGTCAAGTAAAATGAGTCTATTTTCTGTCTACAAGAGCTAGACGTAACCAAAATGGCTGCTTACTTATTTCCAAACGGTGTATGAATATCCGGAAGTCTGACTTTTTCTCTAAAGTTAGCAAAGACATCTGGATAGAAATGGTATCAACATCTACATACAAGGGGACAAGGGATTAGCTGACTATAAAATGTACAGTTTGTAAAATTTAACTTAAAATTCACATTCATATATAAAAATTACAAAACCTGGATCTTTCAAACCCACTAAAAATAGCTTTTCTGTTACTGCTGAAAGATCATTTTTAAATTACCATAACATTATATGGATTATTTCTGTATTACGACCATTATTAATGCCATACTCTTTCATAATCTTCTGTTTTTTTCTATCTTTTCATATTTATTTAAAAACAACATAAGTCAATAAATTAACGTGCTACCTCAGTCCCTGAAAAGCCAATACTCCGCTGCGTTACTGAGAGTTAAACATATATGTGTGACCATAGACAGTAGAAATTATATTGGACCAAGAGACTATGAAGGGATAAAAGTGAAGACTCCTTTTCAAAATATGAACAAATCTATTTACATTCACCACTTCACTTTTAGCTCATTTATATTCATTTATTTATCATTTAGCAGCTTATTCCCCAGTGCTTTAAGAGACACAACTGCAACGACTAGTTCCAATACTTAAAAACTCTGGCTCTCAACTGGTAAGCACATCATTTTAAATAGATTTTTTTTTCTTTTTTTAAATACAACATTATTTTTATTTAACATTGAAATTACATTTAACATGCTTATTATTTACCAGTTGAGAACCAGAGATTTGAGACATATTGAAGTTCATACCATAGACTTTACAAAACCGTCCCATATTGAATAAATGCTATATGTTTTTAGGTAGTACCATTAGGCATCACTTGTGACACTTTCTCCACTTTTAAATATGGCATGAATTTCCACGCTCCCATCACATATACTTACATATACTTATAGCCCCAATAGTTCCTTAGTCACTATTTTTACTGTCTATGTTTTGAGTGCCTGTGTGCATGAAACAGAAATATAGGACACACCCATTAGCGTACCGTGGTTGGTGAGGGCTGTGGTTATGTTGGAGTCCATACAAAAAAATAATTCATGTAAATATATAATATATATTTTTACATATTTGAATATATTTACAAATATACCCAGCACTATACATTATACTGATTTTTTTTTTTTTTTTTCTCCAGAATAATTGGAAGGGTTCATATAAAGAATGTAAAAAGAAATGCATCAATATTACAAAATAAACACATCTCCTATTCCTCTGGTTTGTTAGTCGCTTTCGTTTAGTCCCATTTCCTATCTTTACTCTAGTCCACACGAGTTCACATTGGTCCGTACGTACATTCCTCCAAGGGCAAAAACATTAGTCTTGGAATGGCAGTCTGTGAGGATCATTGCGGTAAGTTCTAGACATAAGCAGCCCTTAAACTTGAGAACTTGAAGCTTGGAACTCGGAGAAAACAGCTGATTTTGCAAGAAGCTTTAGTCTATTCAGTCTCTCTGCAGAATCCATAACTTAAGAGCACTTTTGACCCCGTCCTGTCTAGATCCATGAGTCCACTGGGACCACAGCGGTGAAATAGGAGAGCCAGGGTGTTGGAAGAAGTGTCTCGCCGAAGTTGGTTTTGTTGGGGCAGTTTTGAAGTCTTTTTTTTCTCGCTTTAGTAAAGGCTCATGTTTTGACGTTCCCGTTGATGTGCTGGTATTTGGGGAGGCAGGGCTCGTCCGGTAACGGGTCATGAGAGAACACAGAGTCGTCACCGGAGGAGCACGAGCTACGAGTGTCCGGGAAACTGGGGGAATACTGCTCTGTCGGGGTGCACAGGTCCAGGTACTCCTGCGATAACACAAAAGACATGGCGAGATTACATACTGTACGTCTATGGTAACACAAAAGACATGGTGGGATTACATACTGTACGTCTATGGTAACACAAAAGACATGGTGGGATTACATGCTGTACTTCTACAATAACACAAAAGACATGGCGAGATTACATGCAGAGGTGCTAGAAAGAAGGGATGTTCCGATAATCACTGTATCAATACTGGTCCAATAATTCATTGATGGTATTTTGGTGCTCAATATTTATCGTTTGTACTATTGATGGGCAATAGTGGGTAGAGTCGTCCTCTTTATTTTGTATTACGCTAACATTTTATAATTAACTTTTATGGATGAGTAAAACTGAATTGTGCTCTTTGTTTAATCTCATGCCTTCAAATATTAAAGGCCATTTAAAGCTGGGTTCCCTAACTTTTTTGTTTGTGATGAAAAGTAACAGTTTGATAGCACATCAAACCACAACATCCTGCATCCCTCTTATTAGCAACATTTTTATCTTTTGCATAGTTGTAACAAAGAGCCCTGTGAGTCACTATTTGATGCTTTGGGCTGAGAGGCGATTGGCTGAGGTGAGGGTGGTCCTCTTTCTCACATGAAAACGTATATGTATAGAGGAACTAGAGAAAACTGTTTTAAAAGCAAAAAGTTGTTTAGATTGAATTGTTTGCAGTTTTAAATGTTGGTACTCCGGCTATAAAGAAAAGTTGTGATGAGCTTCCTTTCTACCTGTCATTAAAATAAAGTTTTATTGCAATAACCGTTGTGACAGGTTGACAAAATCAGTCATAGATGTTTTATAATCAACCACCTATAGTTCAATTCTTATTGCACGACAAAATAGTCCATCATTCCTCACATTTTCCTCTGCAACCTACATGAACACACAATAAACACTGGGCGCCATTAAACAGCTTCAGCTATAGTTCAGCTTTTATATTTATTATCAGTGTATAGTTATTTATTGGTCTGTTGGCATGGTGACATGTTGGATTTATAGGTGTATTTGGCCATGTAACCCACCACTACAGAAATGACCCAGGGAAAGTCAGAGCTATAGGGGAACTAGCAAAGTGCAATGAAACCAAGTCAACACAGACGGGGAATTTCCAAAAGAGGCTGAGAACAGCGGATAGAGACGTATCACCTTCATTATTATATTTATCTAAACCACATAACCCTGGAAGGATTTATGAAACAGCGCAGGAAAAATAATCTCTAACTGGATACTGTATGAAAATATTTGCAGGAATAATAGGCAATGAACTGATGGCTAGACAGTAGATGAGGTCCGACAGATCCGACAGATTTGGGAAAAAGTTAAGACTCTTTTGAATGCATTTTTTGTGCAAGTGATTAAAGCTGGTGCATCTGATTTTGAAACGGTAAAACAATTCTAAATGCAGCTAATAAGCCCATCATTAGCATTTATGCGCTTGATTAGCCACAGCCATAGAGCCGCTTCTTCAGACACAAAAGTCAGTCTGGATGGATTTTCCATGCACCAGCTAATCATGTTTCAGCCCAAAGAATTGTATAGGGACTTCTCCACATGTATGCAACACATCGACACATGTAGTACCCCAGCTTAGAATAAAATCTCCTCTGATAATGTTAAAAGGCCATAATGGAAACATCCGTGGAAAAGCGAGGTCTGCTCTGTGTTTATGCATTCAAAAATACTTGGCATTGAATAAAATATATAAACTTTAAGTTACTTAAAATGGTTCCTTGTGTATTAAGAAAAGAAATATAATTCATCGATTCCAGCTGGGGGGAGTACTAATACCGTTGAATAGTGGCGTCATTCTTCAAAAGATCAATCCAAACATGGATTCTGACATGTTGCAAATAAAGAAACTGGCAGCCACACCGGACCGTCCCACAAAAATGAAGATGAAGAAAGACGAACAATCCCAAAATCCTGGCATTAATCTTGAGTCTGGTGTGATGGCTTTTATGTCAGGCACCCACTATCCTTCTGTTCTTTCATGGGTGTTATTAGTGCAAGTTTTGAAAAAGGTTTTTGGGGTTTTATAGAAAATGAGCGCTGGCTTCTATTTTCTCAGCTCAACAAGAACAGGCTCACATTACTGAGGACCTCCACATCTGCCAGCGGTTTGGGGCAGAGACGCACAAGGGAGGAGGGAGGGGGGAAAAAATGCTGCTTTATTACATTTCAAAAGTTCAAACTCCAAGTTGGGCTTTCTTGGCATAAATTTACAAAGTTCCCATTTCCAAAACAGACTAGTCTTGACAGCTTTCCACATAGACAGCCCCCTTTCAGGTCTTTTTGCGGATATCACACGAGACAGGAGGGGATGGAAAAGCACCACCATTATAGGAGGGGAATCATGGCGGTGATGATTGGGCAATTTTAATAGGCCACAGCCGCCACACTGGGCTCGGATAAATTCTTGGGCCGCGCTTTGGTCAATGCTGAGGCCTTTCCCTGGCAAAATCATGCTCCTAAAACTTTCAACAATATTGCGTAGCTGCTTCCACGCACTGGCACCAAAGTCATTTAGATTGGACTCTGAACATGTTCTGTTTAGGAATGTAGCATGCTCCATATTACTGTTATGAATTGTCAGGACCCAATTTGCCAAGTATTTACAGCCTGGCCGACCACCCGGAATGGTTTTAAGATGGAAAATGTAACTTTTTTGTTGCTTTTTTTCAGTGAACGTGCAGAATGGTGAGGAGCTGTGCCCACCTCGTTTGTGTTGAGGGTCAGGATCCTGTCCAGATCCTCCACAAGCTGCTTGAAGGTTGGTCTCTGCGACGAGATGGCGTGCCAGCAGTCTTTCATCATCATGTACCTTCAGGAAGCAATAACAAGTGAGTTAGGCTAGGATGTAAATATTCACTTATCTTCATGTCACCTGAAATAGCTTTAGTTTTTTCTCCCAATGTGTTTCTCTCCTTTGCCTTAGATGTCTGGCAAAGACAGTTCTATGTGTAGATAGACAACTTTGGATTCTGAAAGATAATGTCTCTAGAATCGACTGGTAAATTTAGCTTCCCTAAAATAATATGGGCTTTTCCTGAAGTGATCTGACTGGCATCAAGATGACATGAATTAATCCAACACTAAGGCTATATCCACACGAAGACAAAACGCTTATAATTTCAGAAACTTTTTCTGTAAACACGGAGTTAGCTCAGTAAATGTGTGCGTCCATATGAATGTAGTCAATACGCCTGAAAACGCTGTGAAACTATGCCAGACCTGTTGGTGGCGCTGTGACGCAATGACGGGATCAAGCCCAAACTTCTGTGGGCATGCGCGGAATTTTGTAAACAGACAACATGGCGAGTGGGCGAGCTGGTACTACATTAGTATGGACGGACGATGAGGTTGAACTGTTGCTTCGGGTCAAACTGGATTACAAAACCAACAAGCTACATTGTTGTTGTCATTATTTTCTGAGTGCGGCGCATGCGTGCTTTAACAAGAGGCGGGGCGATGACGCAAGCGTCTCAGATACATTGCGGAAAGGCAGTAACCACGGAGCGGCATATACGGAGTTTTGAAATCTTTCCACTCTGGAACCTACTTTCAAAAATGTTCGTTTACACCCCCCCAAAACGCCGGCCTCGTATGGACGATACACTGGATTGATAAAGTATTTTTGCGTTTAGGCCTGAGCTTGACTTCGTGTGGACAGGGCCTAAATCATGAAAAAGTGGGCATGAGTGCATTCAGACCATTGCAAAAACCTCAATTTGAATTCTAACACTTGTATCCAGTTTTAGCGGTGCAGTGTACAAGAAACACAAGTCTAAAATGTATGATTGGAAATTCTAACAAAGCAAACTTACAGCTCGTTGGTGCAGTTTCCGGGCTTGTCCATGCGATGTCCCTCTTTTAGTAACTTGAAGAGCTCCTCGACTGGGATACCAGGGTATGGAGAACCTCCGAGGGTGAAGATCTCCCACATCAGCACCCCAAACGACCAGCTGGAAAAGTAAAATTAAAATGAGTGTGTTCTTTTATGGCTCAATAGTTTTGTCATTTAACCGACTGTCTTGTGCATTCAATATTTTTTTCTCTGTTCTGAGCGTAAATGTCCTTCCATCCTATAAACACGCAATGCAATGTACGCAAGATACTTTTGGATGACACAATTCATATTCATGACGAAACCGTAAGAATAGAAGGCATAATTTATCTTTGAACCATAATATCGTTTACACTAGCACCCTCAGCTTGTAGTATCCAACAATGTTCCTGCACTGGTGTCAATGGCTTCTTTCTGCAATTGGGTGGCTTGTGGTACGGACCCACTCACTTTGGCCTTGGGGTCAATGCTGCCGTTTGTTGGCTCTTTGGACACTCACACAGACTGACATTGTCCACTCTCAGCACACCAAAACAAACAGTGGACCACCCAGCAGAAACAAAAGTCAAAGATGGCTTTAACTACTTCCTTGTGGTTTCATATCTCTTTGCACTTGCACACAAAGCCTGTATTATAAGCTAGAAGGAAATGTATACACTGTACGGCACACCCTGAAGTCGTTCAAATCGGCACACAGCCATAGAGAACCAGTTTTTATCAGTTCTTCCATCTGTTGACACAAGCAGATTTGTTCCCAGTTCCCTATCTTGGAGTAGTATCTTTTGTTGACACACTTGGCTCTCCTTTCTGCCCCAATTTAGTTCTCGTCAACTTGCTACTCGATGGACATCCGTGTTCAACTGCATCCAACCTTGACTCTGCAAACAAGTGTGCACACTGCCACGTTCTGGGTCACATTGAAATGCCCCCACAAGAATATTCACGCTTTAAACCTGGCTAAAGACACTGTAAACTTGGTTGGGTCGATACCCAGAAGTGACCTAATTCTCAGGTTTACTTACACTAGCATTGATTAGAAGCTGCATGAATGTAAACATCATAACACAACGTCAATACACATGCATGACATTTATGGCGTAGTATAATTTTATTGCGTTTCTGCATTGCCCCACATCCAGTCTCGACCATTACCGAGCTAACCACAGCTCCATCCCTTGAGCCTGTTTATCAAACTGGCCTGCATTGGAATTCATGTATTCATTTAATCTGATGTCATGTATGGATTGCTTGCGCTGCTCTGATGCTTGGAGGATACAACCGACTTCAACAACACCTTTTCTGCACCCATTCCTATGGGATAGTATGCGGAGCCATTTACGGAAAGTGAGTGATGAAATTAGTGGATTAGCAAAAGTTATTGATAAAGGCGAAGGCAAAGGGCATCTTGTGTGTTCATTATGTATGCCCGAACACGCTCAGGTAGACGCTTTTTTGTGGACAGGCTAGAAATTGTGGCTATCCAAGACCCTAGCTGGACCAAATCTGTTTACTCCACTCCTGCTTTTCTATGAGTCACTCACGCAGCCGAGCTCCTTTCCCAGGGGTCAGCGTGAGAGGCATTTATCTAATTGCCACATACACTTTCTGCCGCCAGTGTCGGTAGCACCAACTTCAAACAACGCTGTCAAAACACATGAGACTCAAGCGCTAAAAAGAGGGACGCGTTGCCTTTGTTCTGTTTTTAGAGTAAGAGGAAAAAAAGGACAGACTGACGGGTCAGCAATCCACGTAGTACAAGAAGAAAGAAGAAACCGTATTGAGGTGGGAGGGGGGGAAGGTTTTGATCGAGGATTGGTTTGACAATACGCAGCGCCACATGTTCAAAGTACTCTTGGATTTGGATGCAGAGATTGACTTGCAGGGGGTAAAAGAGAAGGATGAGGCCTGTCCACACCGGAGGCCCAAAGCTTTGTTGTACATTCAAACATCCACGGAGGTAAAAAAGAAGGGGAGACTTCCGAGCCAGGACCCAGGATGGAGGGGTTAGTTGGTAGGGAGGAGGTGCAGCTGAACTCCTGCTCCTTCCAGGGCCCTTTGAAGCCGTTCAGATTAGTAACACGGCATTGGCTACAAGTCTAGCGTGAAATCCTCACTTTTACTTCAGACTGACCAGTCCTGGTTTTTTTGGAAGTTTCCACCTCCAAGCCAGGGCTCACCAAAACAACACCCAACAAAGTACAGCCACAAAAAGGTTTGAATTGCCTAGATGCCATAATGTAATGATGTCATCTGGGGAATCACAGAGCAGTTTATAGACCAAGTGTTTCCTTATAGTTGATTGAAGTTTGTCACACCAGTACAGATATGTTATAAAAGCAGCTCTCTGTGTCTCTTTATCATGTACATCTAATTCGCACAATTTATCCTCGGTGGAACAAGTAGTGTTCTACTAATGTGTTTGCACTTGAACCAGATGGATTTTTAGGCTCTTCAGAATGTGTGAACAAGCTAAATAATTACACTTCTGAGCTGGGCCCATAGTTTATAGTTTCTTTATTAAGCTACTAATAAAGATTTCAATTTTTGTTCTGCTTAATATTCACTTCATATCATATCTTGTGTTGTGTGCGCTGTTCTGTAACTTGTGATCGTATTCTTAAAGATTGTGCTCTTCTAACAGTCGCCCACACAGATGCATTATCCACCAACTTATCATATCCCTGTGATGCTTTACACTCCATCATCAGTTTAAATAGACATGATTGTTAAACCCACGTGAGACCTGGCCTATTGTGTACACTGCTTGTGGCTGTTGTCAATACAGACTCTAAATCCAAAGCGTTCAAACAAATTGCTCTCTAGCTGATTTTCCGAGGTCTTCTGCTAAATAGAAACATTCTAGCTTGAAACAATGGGTGTATACTTACACGTCACTCTGGTGTGTGTAGACGCGGTCAAAAAGTGCTTCAGGAGCCATCCATTTTACTGGCAGACGACCCTACGGACAAACAGAGGGCAGAAGTCAAATGTGATCTACAGCAGAATCACCGAAGCCCTGTTTTTCTGACACAATCAGCAGGTTTGAATCCAGTTAAGAGATCATTACTTCTCCAAAGCCCGATAACCGAGAGCTGTTTGGGGAATAAGACCGTTCCGAATCTGTCTGCGTGGAGGATTTCCCATAGGAACATTTGAATTGTTAATGCCGCAGCTGATAAACAGGTCTCAGATAAGGAGAGATTTATCTGTGTTTGCTGCCGTCGAGACACTGAACACGACTCACTGGACGACCTTGCTCCGTATCAGAATAGTAGCGTAATGGATGCTCTAATCTTATCAGGAAGCATGTTGGAGAAAATAAAGTTACTAGCCTAAGAAATCCGTCTGTGAATTCCGTGTTTATGCTTTGTAAAAAACAACGTCACCATTTTGATCGTGCAATTGCCAATTTAAAATAATTATTAGAAGTCCTTAATTTAGAGAGAGGCCTATTCTAATCAGACCTCAGACATTTTAGATGAGCTGTTCTCCTGAGGTATTTTTTTTTAATAAATGGAGGCTCACCTTTGGTCTATTTCAAATATTTTAAAGACAGTTATTATTTTAAAGAATTCTGTGTTGGTCTTTGATGAACACCTGTTTTTAAACTATTATTACGCTCCAACTTATTTGATCTTTATTAAACTTAAACATTTATCTCATGTTTGCTGTAAGCTACGCCTAAATACTCATGATACATGCAGGATTTAGTGCAATTCAACACAAAATTGCCTTGATGCAGGACATAAACATTGTGCTATTGTAATTTGAATCAGTATACAAAAGGATAAACATTGGTGACTATGTTAAAGCTGGGGTCTCTAACTTCATTACATTAAGAGTACATTACAAACAACATTGTATCTTTAACATACTTATAAAAAAGAGCCTGTAAGCTACTAATTGACACTTTGGTCAGAGACAGACAACTATTCACTTGTCCGTCTGAAAAAGCTGATCCAAACCTGTGACAGATGTAAATTGCATTCATGTAAAAACAAGTGCTAGAAGCAAACCGTGTTGAGAGCGAGGAACTAGTTAGATTGGTTTCATTACAAAATAGCATTGTTGTGGTTTGAAAATTCTGTACCCCAGCTTTAAAGTCGGTCTCACCACTTGTGTCCACCCATTCATTCGCATGCAACCAAAATCCTCTCTCTTACGACTCTGCTTCTGCACAAAACAATTTCACTAATATAAAAAGATCTGACATAGCACGCTGTTCATCACATGAGCGTGATTGAGAAGCATTTCCTTGCCGTGATGGAACAAAGGCAGGCCAACAAAAGCTTCTCTGTGTAAATTAGTTTCAGCGTCAGATCACTGTTATTGTCGTAATCATCAGCTCCATCAGCATCACACTCTATTGTTGCCCATGTTGTTGTTCTCAGCGTGATTGTGCATGCTACGGGAGGCAACCATGCATACCAAATGAGGATGCGCAACCAATGCAGATTCGCCTGGCCTTGCAGCGCTGTGGGAACGAAAGACGCCACTACTGGGCCACTTTGGAAATGTCAATTATGTTTAGCTGCTCCTGCTCCCCAAGCCCTTTTTGGTCTTTTTAGCTAATTGTGTTAGTGGTGATGAAGCTAAAGGAACAAGGGAGTGAGGGATCAACAATCTACATTCACAAGGCTTCATGGGAACTTGAGGTTTCTGCCAAAAGATCAGCCAAGATGGAGAGCAGAGAGAGCTGAGAGGATTGGACAAAGAGTGGTGTCGTATTAAGTGCTTTCAGAGCAACGAGTCTTGATTAGTTTTATTTGTCCGTTTGAATTTGTTACTATTTGTGCACATTGTTGCCTGTAACTCACATTGTTTGAATGGATTTGGTCAGTTGTGATTGCCAATGTACAGAATTTTAAAAAAGTAAAACAATTAGAAATCATTGCCAATATTATTTATACTTTTGTTCTTTTGACTTCATTAATATTGTCCAACCCTTATTATATTTTTTGTAGCTCTCGGCCCACAAGTATTATTTATGCAGATGGAAAGTTAGGTACCCTAGCTTTTGGGAATTTTGGGAACACATGTATTTTACTGCATGTGCAAGTGGAGCCCTTTAAACTTCCTTTCCATACTGGGCTTTTATCGCTTAGCCTGGAAAATTACTCAAATTATATAAAACTCATGAAAATGATTAAAGCATAGCTCATTACTCCATCAAAGTCTCATTGATATAATTTATATATGTAATGTATGTTATAGACCTATCTCGATGTTGTTCTTATTCACCTGTTTTGTGCGGGTATTTGATGAGAACTTACATTTGTTGTCTTTTTATAGTAGTCGATATTGTGAACGTCCCGGGCCAAGCCGAAGTCTGCGATCTTCATGACGTTGCTCTCTGTGACAAGAACGTTCCTCGCCGCCAAGTCTCTATGTATACACTAAATGAAGAAAAACAAGCCAAACGTTACTATGGAAAAAGGTCTGTTTTCTTCGCTTCATACATAAATCACATTCAAAAACAGCTGTGCGCCCCGAGAACCATTTTTATGATGCAAGCCACCAACCCGACATCACCTGTCCACTGCACGACCTGAAGTCACAGTGACTTCACTGACAACATGTTGCGATAGGTAGAAATTCTTGGCATATTTTCTACATACAGTAAGTCAGGGCCAGAGCGCATGTGTGGCGATGTGTTGCGTGTTCACATTGTCACATTCCTACAGTGAGACAACATGGCTGTACCCCCCTATTGTGAAAAGCTAATGCCGCTCCACACAGAGGGGCTTTTGTGGTCCCAATAGAGCAGTGTTTTTCAACCACTGTGCCGCGGCACACTAGTGTGCCGTATGATATTGTCTGGTGTGCCGTGAGAAATTCGTCTACTTTGTCTAAAAATAACTGCATTCGCTGTTGACGAGCGGTGACTTGTTTTGAACTGTGGAGTAACCATGTAATACTTTTTCAAATCAGTAGATGGCAGCAGATAGCTAAGTACTTTGAAACTGAAAAATTGGATGCGACCACTGGCTACAGGTCAGCATTGTGGCGAGAAAGGTAAAATTGGATGCGACCAACAAATGTGGGAGGGAGCGAGACAAGAGCTTTGTGGCGAGTGAGAAGTGAAAGTGATGAGACGTTTTTGAAAATGAATTATGCCGTTTCTGAACAGGATTAACATCCTCCGCTCTGCCCCGGGGCAGCTGTGGCCGCGTTGTAGTGGTTTAACTATGAAATGTACAATCGCGAACGCACTTCTGAACTGGGTACCGAGCGCAGACCATAGTCGAGTGGACAGAACCATAGACATGCGGACCGGACAGAACCACAGACATGCGGACCGGACAGAACCATGGACTCGCGTTCAGGACCTCCCGTGTCCCTCATCCAAAACTCCTGAATTTAAAGCTCGGATACCTAAATTTTTCCCATGCACTAACAATGCATGTTCTTTGTGTGAGTTATTATTTGACTATTTGGGCAGAGAGTGGATTTTCTTAGTTTTTTTCCACACAGTTAGTGCCACTTTATTACCAAACTCTTGTTAATTGTATCGAGAAATGTTAAATAAAGCTTAATGTCAAGGCCTGGACTTAAGCATTTTGATGAGAATAACTGTATATTGTGAATATAGGCTACAGAGTATACTGTATACATTATAAGATAAGATATACTTTATATATCACACAGAGTATGTACAGTATATATTTTTACATTAGTACTGTATACATTTTTACATTTTCTCCTGGAGGTGTGCCGCAAGATTTTTTCAGTGAAAAAAGTGTGCCTTGGCTCAAAAAAGGTTGAAAAACACTGCAATAGAGAACAATGACAAAGATAGGCCAGGGGTTGTCTCTAATGTGAAAGGTATGAAAAAAAGTTGCATGTCCAGAGCTTGAAGTAGTGAAAATGACACTGATGGAGAAACATTGTATTTTGCTTGTAAGACAGAGAGATCGAAATAAAGAAATACATGATTATTTGATGGGGAATTTTCAGTGTTGCATCACAAGTTATAGAACAGTAGAAATGAGGAGCACACAACACACAATAAATGAATAATAACTCTATACTATATTAAAATGAAATAACAAGAATTTGTATAAAATCTCTCTTCCATAATAATCTCCAACTTTATGTAGCTACACAGCTCCATACTAATAAAGATTTTGATTACAACTTGTTGAAGACATGACAAAAAAAACAATATTACACAACTTTTCTCTGAAGTTTGTTGCTAGAATAGTTCTGGGTGAATTGATAGTTGAAATTATTTGATTAGGGGAAAATTATCAGAATTGATCCTACATCAGACAGCGCCGCAAATGGCGAAGTGGCACGCTCTCTGCCAAGACAATTTCCAAGTGATAACTTTGTTACTCACGTGGCAATAAAAATGATTCTGATTCTGATTCTGATTCTGATTCTGACATATCAGGTTGAAATTACAGTGGGGCTTCTATGTCAGCGGTCTCACTGAGTTCTAAACAGTTTTGGCTCCGAACATGAAAAACTGCATCCAGCAACCATTAATTCCTCAAACATTCAAAGCACGTACAAATAAAATGCTCACACATGAAATGCTGACTCAAAATTAGGTTATTGAATTATTATGGAAAGGAATGGTGGTTTGTCATACCATTGTCTCTAGTCTAGCCCAGATTGTAGAAAGGGCAACAAGCCACAGAAATGCATGGATCCAAATGAATAAAGCAGTTCTTACTTTCTGTGACGCGAGGTACTCCATACCGCGGGCCACCTGATAAGTGCAGGACACGAGGTCTTTGAAGGTGAGCTGTTCGTCTGAGACTCGCGCTATGTCGTAGGAATACTCCATCCCGGGCGGCCGGCGCGCTCTGAGGTATTCTCTGAGGTTTCCTTTAGACGCGTACTCCACTATCACGTACAGAGGGCCTGCAAGGGACAACAGCAGAGTCTGAACCACAGAGACACTAATGCTGGACAAGAAATTATGAAAAAAGTGCTGCAATATTTTGCCAAGACTATGTGTAAGCTTCACCATGGTTCAAACATCACCATCACTTATAGAAACTTTCAGTGACGCCATGGTAACGGGTGCATTTGCTTCTAAACCATGTTGTCATATTATAAGTCTGAACACGCCCTTTGTCTACAGGAGTGAATATCATCACATACTGTCAATCCTATTAAAACATTACGCTGCAGTTAAAGAATGATAATGAGAATGATATAGTAACTAAATAAGTAATTTGGACAACTTAACATGCACATTTTTCTCTCTGTAAAAAGAAAAAAATCTGGACATTATTTCAACCAGATAAATAGACTTGAGTTTTGGATAGTCGCTGAGAGGACAAGATTGCGGATACAAGCAGTTTAAATTAGTTTTTCTTTTCGCCAAGTGGCTGGGTGCTCCCTAAGAGATATGGTGAGCTCAGCGATACGACAGGAGCTTAGAGTAGAGTCGCTGCTTCTCCACGTTGAGAGGCATCAGTTTCAGATTTTCCTGAAGATTCAGAACACCAGGGCATTTAACCAACTGAGCTGGGACAGGGAAGTCTGGGCCTCTGCTCAGACTGCTGCCTCTTCGGCAATGGATAAAATTAAATGGAAAATGGATGTATGGGTGAGAAAGTCACTAACCGTCTTGTGTGCATGCCCCCAGAAGATTGATGATGTTCTTATGCTTTCCAATCATCTTCATCATCTCCATCTCTGACACCAGGTCGGACAGGTCCTTTTCTGTGGCATCATCTGTAAAGAAAAACAATATTTAAAGTTTATTAATGTCTATTAATTATAGACAACACAAACCAAAGCAGCTGTAATCAGAAGCTCCTTTATAGACGCAGCCTCAGACAACACCTTGTTTTGGAGGTGCCCTGATTAAGTGCGGTTGACAGACAAAGCTGGATGAAGTTTCGTGTTCACACAGACTACAGAGGAGCGCTTTCAACACCGGGGGCAGAGGAGGAGGAATTAAAGATGTTCAATGTAGATCCATTATCTGCACAAAGTTCTTTTCAGGGAGTCAAAAAGGCATTCCATTAAATTCTCTGCTGATGTCCAAATAGTTGACCTAGATTCACTAAGCAGAAGGTACAAGCCGGGGAGCTTTCTTCAAAGGTTGAAGACATGTTTGTGTAGAGGTTTTAAGCGTTTTCCACTCTATAAACTTGAACAATTTATGGTATGGAATTTGGTATAGAATTCTATGGAATTTTCTTCTTGCATGCTTTTTGTAATTAGACCTTTTTACTCAACAGTTATGAGGCCGTTTTTGTTACATGCTTGCATAGTTGGAGCTTTAGGAGCAGAACAGAACAAGTAATAGTAAACATAAAGTTGTAATAGTTAAAATGATTGAGTGAATGAGTTTTAGTGCTGAACGTAAAGATAATTTATCTGACATTATATTACAATTATATTAGATTGATTGTTTTAAAGTTAGACTTTCTTCAGAGTACAGTTTCAAATCTCCCTGATGCTTTGGTGTTTGTTGTAACGATGGAATCTTCCAAAGTATCTCTCTGTCTATGCCTCTATTTATTCTTAGTGGCATTTCAATGTTTATTACCTTTCACTGAACAATAAAGCTGGGCTACCTATTTTCAAACCGCAAAAAATCCATCCTTTCCCCCAAAATAATTTGCTTCTATCACTGTTTTTGTCACTGTAGAACATCCTCTTCTGACAGAGAGGACTACCCTGACTCAGCCCAAAATGTCAAATAGTGACTCTCAGGGCTCAATTTAAATAGAACAAATGTTCAAAGAAGAAGACTGCATGTTGTGGTTTGTTTTGTTTGCAGCATTTTACTTTTACAAGACTATTTCTGTTGAGACAAACAAGATAGATTATTAATTGAACGAAAAAGTTATTTTCCCCAGCATTACTTAAATCATCTTTTTAGTACAATAATGTATGAAATGTGAAAAGTGCATAACTTTAGTCCCGATTCTTCTCATAGTTCTTAACCGGAGTCTGTTCTGTTCGGACTGAGTGGCTCTTTTGTGCGGCGGTGATGCAGCTGCGGCTCTGGGTCAGGTATGTAAACTCTTCCCTCTCAGCCAATCTGCCTGCCCTCACTCAACAAGCACCAATAACCAATCATAATGACAGCCACGCCCCCCTGGCCTCTGCTCACCCCACACACCACACCATCATTCATATGTAAAACCTACTCACGCTGCCATCAATTCATAACAGAACCGCTTCTAGTAGTTCAAGTAGTCTATTTATTTATATAATTGATTTTTCAGTATCCCAACAATGATATATGCTAGTCCGTCATATTGTTTATGCTGAATCTTGTTTTAAATGTCTGTGTTGACATTCAAGATTCACATCCTGCAAATGTGCAACAATTGAAACTGTATATATGGATGTTTGAAAGATTACAATTGCCTGTTGTTCAGTCTTCAATTCTGTTTGGATGAAAATGGATTCCCCCCAGCAATTCTGCACACCTTCTGGGTTTGTTTGTCTGTCAGTCTGTTAGCATCTTCTTCTTTTACAAAATCTTCAGTAATTCATGGAAATTGAAACCAGAACAACCGGATACCTGTCTGAAACCTGGAGATTTTTTAAAGAAATGGAACTGTGTCTCTTGGAGACGGTCTGTGCTCTACGGGTGCTTTTATGTAATATTCAACAATACTAGATGTGAGCTGCCAAAAGTACAGGCACACAATTGCCTGAGGATAAATGACACCTTGTTTTGTCTGTGTTCATTTTCAAGAATTGGACCGTGAGTGACTTGCTGCCACTCCTATAAGCCTTAGCTAATTGTAGTGACTTAGAAACATGAACCACAGTTTAACCATGTCAAGTGAATGAAATAATAATATGTTTACATGTATTTCTTATATTTTGAAAATCACGAAGCACAATGTAGGTCATCTAAACTCTCCCTGAGATCTGATGCTGCCCTGATTGCCGTGTCTTGAATGGGCCCATATCTCTATCCCAGCACAAGCCAGACGTTTCCATTTCAGCCTGCGTGTAACAGTGTCGCGGAGGGGGAAATGCTCTTACCTTTCAGCATCTTGACTGCCACCGTTACGGCCTCCTTGGGTTTGTCCTTATCGATGCCAAGCGCTTCTGCCATTACAACTTGGCCAAAGCAGCCTTCACCTAGGGGCTTGCCCAGTGTCAACCTGTAACCAAAACACAGCACAAAAAGACGGAGTGAGAGGTAAGCTTAAGCCGTTGACCTAAAGTGTCTGGGCATTGATTCATTACGCTGCAAAATAAACAGGTTAGATTAAGAGCGGGGTTGAAACTTGGCGCGCTTCCAAATTTACCCCGCCCTGGAGTTTTGTTGCTTTTTTTTTTCATATGAGATTGTCTGCTCTGTTTCACGGTGATGGTATGTGTTACTTCTGCTGTGGTTGTGGCTGCAGTTTGTGCCAAGGGTAGGTGCAATTATGAAATCCTTTATATTACATGTGCATTTATGGAGGGTTTTCTGATGTTGGCAAGCTCAGGAGGACATGCATTACAGTAAAGTAGCTTGATATATTATGCATGTTTGTGGTTTACATGATTTAAAGGACAACAAACTTACTCATCCTCTTCAGAAGGATCACCTTGTATTGATTTCCAAGCAGCTGCTTTCAGGCCGGTGAAATTTACTTAAGTTGGAGTTAAATTATATAAATCCAGTTTGTGAAAAAGGTCATTCTTTCCATATACATAAGGTCATTCTATCCGTCGTTAGCATCTTTGAAGATTCCCAGAAAGACCCATGCAAAGACCCTACCAGGGTTTTGTTTCCCCAAAAATGAATTTGAAACTGAAAACTACAGAGAACTACTTTAATCAAAAAAACAAAAAAAGATTTGATAAAGATTCGTGCCTGGTCGCTGTATAGAAAGTGTCCTGGATTCTGTTACTTTGGTGCCAAAAGGGTTAACAAAGGTTTATTTATGACCATGAAAACCAGCATTGTGTGTTAAAGGCATTTAAAGGTAATGAAACATAATTTATCACATTGTGTCAACATTTGCATGCGGGGCAGCTCTGTAGGCTCCTACATTGTTCAACAGTGGCTCACTTGTTCCACTTCCTGTAGCCACATCTCTTGTTCCGCTTCACATGATCAATCACAGCCCTGTCACCTCTGATCCCTGACCCGGCTCTGCACCCTGGACAGTGTATTTTCCCTCTCCGTGTGACTGACATGTGTTGGTCCTGAGTTTAAATGCACATGCGTCCGCCTATGTAAACAGTGTGTGTGCGTTCTGCCATGCCGAGAGCTTTCCACGCGGCGCCCGCCTGTAGCAACACAATCCCTCGTCTGTCCTCACCCCTCCGCGTGCTCAATGCTGGCTATTCTGTCTGTCCAGCCACACATAATCAATGTTATTTTTTCCTTTAGCACAAACCGCAAACCTTAGCATTCCTCTGTGTTCTGCTATCCCAACATGATCCCTCCGGCGCTGGGATGACAGCCCGTGAATAAAGGCTCAAACCAAACATCCCCCCAACGGTTGTCGTGTCATCGCTGCAAAGCACAACTTTACCCAAATGCTATTCGCTGAGCAGCAGCCACATCAGAAATGAGTTTAATCAGAATTGATGGTGTGGTAAGGGGTATTATTTTACGTCACTTCTTTAACAAAAGACAGGACTTTGTTTTTCCATTCTTCATTCTCTCTTTTACTACCACCGAATGTTCCAGTACAAGTCGGCTTCTTTACATTTGTGGCCATTTCCAATACCAAAAAGAATGTAATACTTTCAACGCAAATGGAGCTTTGTCGTTATTGTGCATCATAGTCGTCCATGCTACTCCTCTGCAGTGTTTGAAGTATTATTTTTGATACTTTTTTTATTTATCTTCTTTTTGAGTATGTATTATGCTCTTGAAACTGTTCTTAAACCCTGTGTTTTGCAAGACTGATATTTCCCCATTACGTAAAATAACTAATTTTCTATTTAACTAGTTCCTATATATTTTTAAACAGTCTGGTAACTTCATGGCAGGAACAATATAATATACTTTAACCACTAGTTTTCACATGCAATAATTAGATTTTTGTTTTTTGGTAATCTGCCCAAAGTGTCATATTTACTTCCAAGGATTACAAGTTTGCAAACATATCTCTTTTTTTTTCTATTAACATGAAAACATTGTGGTCTGATTTGTTCCCATAATTACATCTTTGCAGGGATCTTTCTTTGTGGATAAACACAATAGTTAAAGGGTGTGGAGTACCTAACTTTGAAACCACCACAAATTATCAACGTAATAAAATCCATGTAACTAGTATCTCGCTCTCAAAACTATCACTAGATTTCACTTGCGTGTATTTTTGGCCTCTTATCCGCATTTTCAGTTAAAAAAAGGTAAAGAAGTTTGGTATCCCAGCCTAAACTACCCCAGCTTCTGAAAGTACTGAAGTAATTGGAACAGTAGAAGTAAAGCCACTCTCCACCTCTGATTTTAATCTTCTCTAACCTTTACGTTTTATTAAATCCAGCCTTGCAGATCGCGGTTGGCGGCGGCTGCTCTGACTAAGTGAAACCTCAGCACTTTGAATTCTTCTGCTATGAACACCACTTTGAGCCCAAACACACACCGTCGACAAAAGCTCACACCAGCGCAAACTATTAATTAACACTACACCGTCGCTTTACCGTCAGCAGCGCAAGTGCGAGTGGTGTTTTTATGAGAGAGCAGTTGTACGGGTGCCACATCAGGACACTTTAAAGTACAAACAGGAGCAGCGCAGTGACTAGTATTCAGCCTTGGTGTGTTACAGTTTTAAATGGAACAGATGAGATGAGAGCAGACGCATTCTTTGTTGCACTAATATGGGTGTTCCTGCCGCTGTATTATTACATAGTTTTGATTCAGTGTTGGCTTTGAGGGCCGGAGAGAAGAGAAAAGCCACCAGCACATTTCACATGATGTTACACAGTTTCAAAGCTTGTGTTGGTTATGCATTATGCATTTATTCATTTTGATACTGAGACCAGTGTTTGCCGAGTTAGAAATGGGGATCAATGGCATTGTTCTAAGTCATATGAGGTGATCCAGCTGACTTCCAGATAGAATATAGCTCATTATAGTGAAAAAAATCATCATGCATTTGTCTAGTATGAATATATGACATATGAAAATATGCAATAGCAAATGCACCAATCAGTTTGGTTCAACAAATATTTAGATCAATTAATTTAAAATAAAATATTGTAGTCCTGATGCTTTTCAATTAGATGTTTTTGGTTTACTTTAGGACCCCCTTGAAAATGAAATGCTGCATCTCAAGGGGCTTTCCCTAAACAAAACAAATCCAATCAAATATAGTGTTGAATTACTACATCAAAAATAATCAACGAGTACACAAACTCAGATATGATAACAGATATGTGGAACGGTCATTTATATATGTTTTTCTAGGTATTTTGGGCTATATAACTAAATTGCCCAAAATTGAACTAAATATTGTAGTTAATGATATCAGACAAAGCGTTGTGGTGAAAATTATAGTATAACCACCATCAAAAGCAGTGTTCAGTGTTGAATTTTAAATAGAATTGTGAAATTTGAAGGTTTGATTCCCCACCTTTAAGACATGATAAACGTACTTTGATCATTTATAAGCATTCTTACCTCTCCCGGTTAAACTCCCAGCGAGGATCTTCGGGCAGGTCGTACTCTGGTATCGGGTCGTCGTGCGCAGAACTCCTCCTCGTCGTTATCCGCACTAAAGGAGTGTTTGAATTCATAGATGCGCTGGAATCCGCCGAAACCTATAAAAGAAATAATGGCTGATCACCACAGTCTAGGTTCAATGATGCTTCAACACTTGGGGCATTGCTAGAGGAGGTAATATCGATTTGGAGTGGGTTTATAGGTTTTAGCACTTCTCATTAAACTTGTAAAGAATGTACTTTTACGGCAGTAAATACCAATGTGAAGTAAAAACAACAATTATTTAGACAGATTTGGAGTGGGACTTCTTGGACCACTGTCAGCAGGACTTATCTCGCCACTCGTTCATCTAGCCTTACCTTGACACCAGGATTCTCTGCAGCCCTCCACACAAAGTAATCCAACACTTTTGTGCCTTTGGAGTGTGGATTTTAATTCCCCTTGAGGGAAAAGCAGTACTCAAACATAGACAACAATCTTTCAGGGCAGCAGTGCTAACTTGTTCAGAAATGCATGCCTCTTTTAACTATACCTGCAGGTGGATTGTTCCACATACCACAGCTAAGTGCACTGAGGCTGAACTAGGGTTAAATATATACTTTGAAATTATATTTAATTTAAATGATTGGATTCATCAATACATTTTCTCCTATATTTGCTATTTCAGATCTTGTATTATTTGTCTTTTATTATTACAAAATTGAATATTTTTGTGATCATGAATCAGTTATCTTCCCTTCATAGTTACTTTGGTGTGGTCTTTACAAGAAAATCCAACAGATGTGTTTCTTTGTTTTTGGTTGTAAACATGCAAAATGGGCGAAAGTACTTGTCTTGTATTTGTCTTTAAGCAAGCCACTATACTAATATCTAACAAAAAGTTTAAGTATTAACAGTCTATACTTGCTATATAAGTTTAACCTAAAGATCATGCCATGTGCCTATACTGTACACAATTGAATGACAATTGGTTCAGTTTCATGTTTTAACTTTACATTTTATTTTTTTGTAATATTGTAAATTGTGCTCTTGTGTTTGTCTCCTCTAGGGGTGTTAGATGCCGTTGGAACTCTTTATCTACTTTCTGTTACCTGGCGGCGCAGGGGGATCTGTTTGCTCAGTTTGTGGACGGCAGGCTGGCCTCCGAAGTCTGGTTTCTTGGCCGTGTTCTTCATCCGACACACCACCACGATGACCACCATGCAAGCAATCAGGAACACCCCTGTGCAGTATATGGCAATCTCCACGTAGTCTGGAGGAATCGGGCCTATTGTCCTGCCTGTGGGCGCTGATGCATGAAAAAAAAACAAAGAGTGAGAAATAACAGGTAAACGGCCCATAAAGTCCCTTGTGCAAACACATCTGGTTGTCAGGTTGGCGAAGCACACACAAATTGTACAAGATAAACAGATACTTTAGCGTGGTTTGTCTTTGAAGGTACCAGCGTGCTTGCTCGGACTCTATTGTGGTCTATGTGTGGGATGGAGCAGTCTAAACAGAACCATACTAGTGACTCATCTAGGGACTGTGTATATGTCTGTATTCACAGCAAAACTCTGAGACCCACGTATTATGGAACAGGCTTAAACAGTGAGGTATATGTCCCTCGAAACTATACAATTACTGCGGAAAATTATTGTTGTAGATTGGTTCTAAAATGTTATTGCCGTATGTGATACATCTGCACTGCTTTGTCGATAGAATAGTGTGATAAGTTGCCAACATGGTGGTTATCTTGTTTGATTCAGGAACATATTATGAAACTGACTTTTATGGGCTTTAAAACAACACTGGTCCATCATCATAAACATGTCCGTGCTTTGTGATTGATTCATGTTGCGGTTGTCTATTTTTTCCTACTTTTGAGGTTTGAGTGCTCTGAAAATGTGTTTTCACGTACCCCTTACCTCCTTTGACAAATAAGGCTACTAATGCGTTAAAGAATAATGAATCTTTAAGACAATAAAGATTTTCCACTGTTTCCATTATTTAATTGAGAAGGTTTGGTTATGGCTCATCTTTGGTCATCTGTGGTTATTTTTGTGTATTTACCTTGTTATATTATGGAGGTTAATAATATTGTTTGGTACTAAATAAGTACAGTTGGGCTTGAATTGAAGCAGAACAGGGCCAAAGCTTAAGACGGCTGGATACTAGATTCACCGATTCACTACATTTTTGAGTCATTGTTTAGAGTGTAATAAGTGATGTGGATGTTTTCCTGACAAAGTTCAAATGAGGTATAACATGCCATGGTAGAATATTGGCCAGATGGGAACAAATTAAGGCAAATTGCAGATTTTTAAAAAACGTGGCTCAATATCTTGGTATTCAGTATATCAGTCTATCTAGAACATGAAAGAACATGTGTTTCTTCATCTTCTGAGATAATTTTACTGTATACATTGTAGTTTCATAACATTTGTTTAGGCTTTTTTATCACATAACGTTATTTTACGGAACTTTCTAGATTAGTTAACATACTTATTTTTTAGACTTCTTTGGTGCATATTGTACGCATTATAAGCCTCGGCCCTGTGTCACCTCGCTGCCCCCTGACCCACAGTGGTCCCTGCAGTCGGACTCCATTACTGTACATCCTATTGAACTTCCTGCTGAGGAAGTTGAAGTGTGCTCGACAAAAACGGCCTGTTCCATAATGCATAGGGCTTCAGACCGCAGGCCCTTGTGCTGCGTGGAGCCAGCTGGAGGTGAAGCCGCATGAAGCAACCTCGGCCTTGTTTCAATGTGTCCAAAAACCACAGAACTAACACACATACCCCAGCCTCACAGGCGCCAGTGGGGCAGATACACTGCGCCAGGGGCAATAAATATTACACATGATTCCCAAGAGAAAAGCCAGGCCTGTGATCTTCATACGCTATTGTTTACAGTCAAATGAGATTGATAAGTTTTATGTTTTATATTATAGCCCTAATAATACACGACTGGGCTATGATGTTGGACTGAAAAGGCAAACTGCTAATCATCAATCTTTTTTTCAAATCTCATCCTAAATTTAGTTGTACTACTTTAACCTATATATACAACTGTCATCTCTCATCTGGCTGACCTAAAGCGAACTTGCAAAGATCGTACGCTCCATGAGCCTAATAACGAGCAGATGTGCAGCAAGGGATATAAAGTCGCATTAAACAACAAGCATTTTATGGTATAGGCTGAGATATTTGGCTCTGATAATTCTAAAAGTCAAGCCAACTGCAAAACGTGTTGAGCTATGACTTTCTAACTTTATTTCTAGAAGAAATAAAGATTGCAGAAGTAGCCAATTATCAGTGCCAGGAAAAAGGGTGGGGGAATGTTACTCTTATGGAGCAATAGTGAAACAGACAGACATGAACGGTTCAAATGTGAAGAGAAAAGATGGTCCCAACGGAGTAAAGAAGAGGTTTATTACATAAGGCAAAAGGCAAGTCCTCGTCTGCTGCTGACTGCCGTCTGGAGTCACTTGAGCTGCGTTGGGAAATACACTTCCGTCTCAGAGCTCCAAGTCTTTGGAAACTACTTTCTTATCTGCACTGGGCTTTCAACGGCTCAAACAATCCAGGTGAAATTATGGGTCATAGCTTAGTACTCGGATTATTTGTCTGTCCTGTGGCCTTAATGATCCGAAATGAGCCCAAAGAAGGACTGGGTGTAACCTCAAGGACAAAAGAGATTTTCTCGAAAGCAAGCCCAGAATTGAAAGAGCTTTTACAGCTACCTAAGATAATTTGACTTTTCTTACTTTGTGTGAACCAATACAATGTATTGCGTCTGAACTTTTAATAAATTATTGATTAAATGTTAGATTTGTAGATAAAAAGCATAGTTTAAATGAATTGCTGGTAGTGTGAGTTGTTGTTGGACCCTATTGTAAGCGAAATACTGCTTCAAGGGTGTCCCATTTACAATAATAAACCAGGAATCAATACCAATAGTATGGATTCAAGTGGAGTAGAAATACACCTGATTGCTAAGTAACAGAAGGACACAGCAAGACCGACGGGACCTGCCTTATACCTTTCTACAAACAAATACATAAGTACACAAATGAAATAGCAGAAAGATAGTGTTAAGGCCAGTATATGTACCTGGAAGCACCGTCAACATAGCAGTTTGATAGGAGATCCCGATAGAATTACCCGCCAAGCATGTATACTCCCCAGCATCTTCAAAAGTAACATTGGGCAAGTAGAGAACCTCAATCTCCTTATCTGTAGTGTTAACACCAGCCGTCTGAGGAGAAGGAAGGTGGAGGAAGAAGAAAAGACACGTACAAATGAGTCCCGAAACACCAAGAAAGATACATTGAGAAAAGTGTCCATCGATGAGTTCGCATCACAACCTGCTGGTGAAAGAAGTACCAAAAAAAGTATAGAACAGACCCACAATACACACATAGACAGCTGAAAGTAATGGATATTCAAAAGTTGGCTCTTGAATTCATATCATTTTCTCCGTTAAGAAAATGATACATCAATAGGCTTTGTGCAATATTGCTTTTTTATGATTTTAATTACGTTAATCCTTTTTGTCCCAAGCGATCAAACTAAGCTAAATAATAGCTTGTACTTTGACTACTTGGGTGGCCAGGTTATAATGAATAAGCTATTTGAAGCCAACTTTAAATAGTTTGGTCCATTAGTTTCTATTGCGGTCTATGCAGCCGCTTCAACATTGAAAATATATACAAGAGACCAAATGAAACCCAAGAAGACCCCAGTCACCTTTTTAAACATAAAGTCTACCCCATGCATTTCCAACATGGAAAGTACAATGCTGCTAAACAGTACTTCCATGGCTTCACCGGTGTCTGCAATAGAAATAGATGAAAAATGAGATCTGCTTTGGGGGGGAAAGAAAGTCCAGGAACCACCAAGACACCACCAACCAACCACCATTAGGAGTAAGATGGCACAGGGCAGGACACCATAGGAAGCTGGGTGGACCAAGTCTTCAGCAGTTTTACCTGGGATAACAGTGAGCCACCCCGATTGGTTGGCCTCCCCTATATAATTGGAGACTTTACAGATATACTCCCCAGCGTCTTTCTCGGTCACGTTGGTGATGGTCAGAAACTCCACGTCTGTGCTGTTAATGCCAGAGCGCTGAAAATGTATACATATATGGGTCTTAAACTTAACGTGCAATACACAAACGAGCTGGAGGAGAGAGAAAGACCTCTCTCCACCATCTAGAGAAAAGCTGCCAATGTTATAATAATTAGAAATAATGAATCCTGTTTGATAGATTAAAGCTGGGGTACCTACCCTTCATACCACAGAAAAATGAAACTATACGTGATAAAATCATTATGACTAGTTCCTCACTCTCACAACAGTTTGGTTCTATCACTAGTCTTGACATGCATGTGTTTTTGGCCTTGGTCATATCTTTTGATCAGCTTTTTCAGACTGAAAAATGAAAAAGAGAGGGCCACACTCAGCTTAGGGTTAGGGTTAAAAAATTTCAAAAGATAACATGTGGTCTTAAACAAAAATCTCTAAGCTAGTAGTAGTAGTTTATTTTCTTTGGCCAATATGTACACCAGATCTCAGGTCACACGGTTACAGAGATCACATATACTTTTTACAACGACTAGGATAAACAAAATGTGTAAATTATGAAACAAAAAACGTAAGTACCCCAGCTTTAACGAACAGATTTGATTATGTTACACAGCCGTTAGAAGACCGCGTGGAGCCCCATATGATTGAATCTGCTTATGTACTGTAGTTGTAGTTGTACAAAACCCATAATCTGTGTTTAATTACATCTTAATTTATTTTGCCATCCATTTCTGCACGATCAAACTTTGAAGTCTGCTTGAACTGCCAAAAGCCTTACATCACTTGCAGAAAGAGCAAAAACGTATGTCTTGGTGCGGACATATTCTGCGCATTTCAAATACCTCAGCTGATAATGTGAACCAAAACACAGTCTAATCCTTTCTGAAAAGATTAGAAGCACGAAACACCTGCGAAAAAGTCCCGGAGAAGTTGGAGGATTTCTCATACAAAATCAAAGAGTCCTTGTCTTTGTGTGTGTACCTTGAGCACGCGCACGTAGGGGTGTCCGTCCGGCCCGAAGCGGCTGCCGTTCCGCATGATGTGTTTGAGCCACTGGATGTGCGGCTGTGCATCGCTGTACACTTTACACACAAACCGGGCGTCCTCTCCTACGTGGACCGTGGTGTTAGCCGGGAGTCCAGCCTGGAGGATGGGCCGGTGTGGAGAGCGCTCTGTGGAGGATTGCAGAGTTAGTTTGAGGCCAAGACGCGTTTCCATTGGGACAAATAAAAGGTCATTGTGATCTTGAACGTGTTGAGAATGGATGTAGTAATGTCAGTGCTGGCTCAATATCAGGAGTGGCAATCAGCGTTGTCATATGGATCGGAAGATATTACCATCATTGAGACTAAAACTAGTATCATTTAAAAAATGTGAAATTCTTTGAGCAGTTATTGAATAATTTATGATCTAATTACAAATTCCATTCAATTATGTATGTATTCAATAATGTATTTTTGTATAGTCCTAAATCACAGCAGCAGTTGTCTCTGGGGGCTACATAATTTCCAATTTATATGACAAATTACAGAATTAGAACACAAGAAATGCAATAATAAAACTAACACATAGGAGGCCATAGAAAAAATGTATATGTATAACTACTACTTACAGTTCAATGTTGTAAAAGTTCATAGTTTTAGTATTGTGACAAAGCTTGTTGACTGCCATTGAAGAAAAAATAAATCTCAAAATATATTGCAGAATTTTGACGAGCACAATGTGAGAGACAAATGCTTTTGTATGCATCTAGTGTGACAGTTTCAAGATCAACTTAGCAATAACTACAGTTTCTGGTTAACATTATATTTCATTCACAGCTGATCTGCTCAACTTTGAATCTATTCTCCCGTTCATTTCCTGCCGTATCTTCATAGGCGTCTAAAGAAAGCGAGAAATGTGAAAGAAACGTACAAAGTAATAAAAAGGGAATCAGTTTAGCTTTTCTTTGAGCCCCCGTGAGTTTATCTGCGTAAAACAGGGCTCCGCGTTCTGGACTAGGAATGTGTTTCTTCTCCCACCAAGCTTCACACGGTGAACACAAACAAGCAGCCGGCCCATTTATGTGTAAAAGTAAGTTGGAAATATGCGGCGGGAGGAGTTTAGGGCAATGTATATGTGCAAAGATGGAGTCGTGGGATCATCCATCCATCCATTCATCCATTTTCTTCCCCTTAATCCATTTCTGGGTCGGGGGGGTGGCAGTCAGAGCTGCACCCAGTCCACTTAGCACCAGCCCCTCACTGATCCTCCTGCAGGTGGTGAGTCCACAGGAGCTGAGATCTTTCAGTGGGAGCTTCAGGCAAAGTGGGGTTAAGTCCAAGGACACAACGACAGCAGTCATCAGTGGGAGTCGTGAAATAGGTCTTATGGTGGGCTTGAACCCACGACCTTCAGGCCCAAAGGCCAATGCTCTACCAACTGAGCCACTGTCGCCCCAGAGTCGTGGGATCAGTCAGGCTGCAATATTTCTTTTGCCCAAAGAAACTTTAAATATCATTCTTATTGTGAGCTGATTCGCCTCATTAAGGGTGTATTCAGACCTGCACATTTGCTCCACTTTAAACGGACCAGGATTTGTTTGGAACTCTGATCCGAATCTTTTATGCAGGTCTGAATACACACAAACGAATCCTGGTCCGGACCAAAGAACCGAACCGAGACCCACTTTTTGAGGTGGTCTCGGTCCGCTTCCAAACGAATTCTGGTCCAAGTCGAATCAGGTCTGAATACATCCGGTGTCGATCCGACACAACTCCAAGATACGTGCGCATTTTTTGGGCTTAACAAGCCGCAGACAGAAACTGAGGAATTAGCCATGCAGCGGCTAACTATGATGCTAACTATGCTGCTAACTATGATGCTAACGCTACACAACAACACTGAGCCGTGTGCAGACCTGGAGCAGTGAGGAGACGCTGTGCAACAGGCTTATGGAGTTAAAACTGTTCACAGTATACATTGATGTTAATGGCAGCATCTTCAAACCATTTGCATTATTAAAAGCCTGACGTGTTTGACTCACGTCTCAAAGAGCAATATTCTGCATCATGTAGTGAATTGTGTTATTTGGTTCCTACCTGATCCTCAGCGTCTGTTTGTCCCGTGGTTATTATAGATCCATGGTTTATCCACGATGCTGCTGTCAGTAAGTTGTGGAACAGGGTTATTATAATAGATCCATGTGTGGGACAGGACACGGAGCGCACAGACAGTCTCCTTCGGCTTTCTCCTCACGCATTCTCCGACGCTGTTCCAATATTTAAAACAACGTGTTTCGCCTGCGTCATATGAGCTGCTGTTGATGTTGAAGGTGGTTTTGCTCTAAAAAGAGCAAACAGAGGCAGAGCAGACATGCTGCACATACGAGCCCTCAATGTTTTCTGCCGGTTCCGCGTCTATCCTCCGTGAGCTCTCGCTGTCCAATATGAGCGCCGACCGTCACACGTGTCAATATGTTTATATAAAAAAGTTCACTTGCAAAAAGGACAGTCTGAATACGAACCGGAGCAAAAGAAAAAAGTTTGGTCCGCTTTTGATTCGGATCAAGCAAGCGGAGCAAAGGACTTTTCAGGTCTGAATACACCCTTAGATTTGACCACCAACTCGTCCATCTCCATTTAGATAAAAGCTTTATATACTGTGGAACATCCAAGCAGTAGAATCTGTGTAGAAACCAGCTTGTTGCCATAGAACAGTCACTGCTCAGCTTGAATGTATCTCCTTTGGTCAGTATGTATTTTGCGCGTGTGCGTGTCCGTGCATGATTGGTGGGCGCCAGAGGGGTCTATGGCTCCGATTATTAACCTCACTTCTATTAGTCTGCACCAGGGAAGCTAATACAATGTGAAGCATCTTTGAGTGTACAAATAATGCCATATAAATGTGATGCATTATCAACTTCTTGTCTTTGATGTAAAAGGAGCGGTTGAATGCCATACTCTGAAACATGTAGACAGACTCCCAAATAACATACTGCACTTAAACTGGTATTTACCTAGTTTTTCATAACACAAATATTGTTTATTATTATATTCCATAGCATTCATAGAGTAAGAGTTACACTTGAACGTGCGCTTGTCACTTGAAGCATGATGAAAACTATACCCGACGTCTGAAAAGTGGAACATACCAAGCACATGCTCTCACCACCTGCATTCTTTTACAGGCTAAACATTTGGCCGGTGAATCCAAATACTCGACCTGTTGAACAATGGCCTTCTTTCAAATGCAGCAGCTTTGGAGGACCCCATCCCGTATAGGCGTACACTGGCCCACGGAGCCACCAACCATCCAACCCCCACCTCCGGGCCCAAAATGACATCACTCCGCTCAGGGCATTGCACTGGCTTTCCAAAACAAAGCCTGAGGTAGGTGCTTAGATTAAGTTGGGTCGGGGGCGGGTCAAGACGGGGGGATGGTGATGAGAAGTGATGGGGAAAATAGAAAAGGAGGTCGGGCTTAAGGAGAACCAGGCTAAAAATGGCTGAAGAATGAGCAGCAGCAGTGAGGTGTTATTGGAAAGGCCTGTACAGTGTATTGCAAAAGCCATTTTACAAGCGGAATGATGGTACTGAAATTAAAACTGGGATGCCTTACTTTTTGTTTCATTTATAGAACATATTTTTTTTAGCCCCGAACGACTTGAGTAAAATGTAAAAGGTTGAGTAAATCAGACCTATATATACGAGCTTCATCCTATTAGTTTTTTGTTTTGTTTTAATTTAGGTATTTCATGAAATGAAAGTCCTGTTAGTCATGATTTGATTTTAAGGCCTGAGAGTTGATTGAGTGAGGATGGTCCACTTTTTTTCTTTTCTGCCTCAAATAAATTGACTTGTTCCTATCCACAGACAAATAAGTAGTGATGTGTAGAGGTGAGCGTGTGTTGTTTTTTATGTTGAGAGCAAGACCTTAGGCCATGTTTGATCTTGATCTGTATTGGCGATACCAATCCATCAAATAATCCTTAACCTTCCCCCTATTTTCTTCCTCCCAGTATCTCCTCTGTAATTATTCTGATTGCTAATAATATGGTGTTTGGATTCTTTTTTATAGTAATTCTATATAATGATAGTACTCTTTTCTATTTCATTCTGGTGAAATGGACACAAATGGAAACCTTGCTTAAAACAGCCGGAGGATTGGCGTGTTTGACGGGAGATAGCAGGGTATCAGCACATGTAGGGTCCATCTGTCTGTCTACCTGTCTCCTTCTTATAAAGGCTGTCAGATATCTTCTCTGAGGCATCCCGCACATTCCTCATGTTGGCTGTGTTTATCGCTTCACTAACTTCTCCTCCTACACAGCACGGCCTTATCTGAGTCAAAACCACTCGGGCTGAGATCATTTTATGTGTCAGTGCAAAGCATGTAACTCTGCCTATCATCAGTTTGAAGACTGGCAGAGAAAAGGGCGCAATAATAAGAACAGATGAAGGTTGAAAGTGGAAAATCTCAAACAGTGGTCCATTTGATTCCTATATCATTTGATTTATTAAATGCATGTCGAGGTGTTGAATAACATTATTACTGAATAGGTCTCAAATGATTCAGATTGGGATAAGGCAGTAAAACTTGAACCGCTCTTTGTCTGGCTTTTTATATCCTATTGACTTACAATCCATAAATGTTGATGGCATGAAGCTAGTCACGAACTAAAGGAATGGTGACTACTGAGACACAGAAATGAAGGATAATTGTTTGTTTAAAGTTGGGGGACCTAACTTTTTTGTTTCATAAATAATACTTGTTACTTGTCCTTACAGAAAAATGTCTTGTAAAAGTGAAATGCAAACCTAACAGGCTGTTTTCATCTTCTTAGAAAACACTGTATCTTTTGACTCTTTGGTCTGAGAGCGGAGTGAGGATGATTCTCTCTTTTTGACTTTTCTGTCTTCAAAATCTGATTTAAAGATGTGACAGAGGCCAAAAAATACCAGTACATGTAAATTAAAACTAGTGATAGTCGTTTTTCAGAGAGAAACTAGTTACATGGATTTTACCACATAGTTCTATTTTGTGTTTTAGAAGTTAGGTACCCCAGCTTTAAGTTGTATGTAATTTCAGTAAATCTCTATTAGCACCAATCAATGCACAACAACATGAAAGAAACAGCTCTGAATAATAAGTTAGTTAGTTGCTTTTGCATTCACTTGTGGTATGTATAGTTTTCATTACTGTTTAAACCAGTCAGTCATTATTTAAATAGGTGCTTTTGATGCTGACAGTAGAATGATGGAGCATGGTTTCTCTTGGGGCCAGTGAACTCCTGCTAACCTCCTGCTCAGGCCTGGGATCACACAGGTTGGTACGGGTCAACAGACAAAAGCCCTGCAGAGCCAATCCATGCCTGTGTTGAGACCTAATACGTAAGACTTAATATTCTTAATAAGTCATCTTTATGCTGCGTATAAGTTCAAGTACTTTCTTGAGCTGCGATAGTCTGGTTAAGTTAAGTTGAGGCCGCTGATTCTGCTGGTCATTTGGGCTGGAGGAATACTGATAAGAGATTGAAATGAAACAGGAGGTGAGAGGGTGCAGCGGCTGTGGAGCCAGACATAAAGGGGTTTACTGCTCTGTGCGGCAATAAAACTCGACAAAAAACAGAAATCTGCAGTTCAGAAGGAGCACTATAAGGACTGCATACAGGGGAGAGGGGCCCTAGTATGGGGATCTTTGCTGTACGTTTTGTTCCTAAATTCATTTCAAAAAGCTACCAGTAGTTGAAAGTACTAGCTCGTTTTAGTATAATACACTCAGGGCAGTACAGCTATGAATAAATGGACTATCCTTTACTTTATTTATACACCCCCATAAGAACAATAACTATTAGCTTGACCTCAAATTGAAAGGTTTAATACTGTAGTGGTTCAAATTGGGCCAAAGAGGCTACTTCTATCTGCATTTAGGGGTCAGAGGGGTAAGCCTGCGGTACGCAAAACCCGCACACATATTTACTATAACAATCCTTCTTCTTTTTTAACCTGACGTCTATTGATTTTGCAAAAAGTCTCTTTACTTTTCGAGCTCCAAAGGTCGCTCTGAAGGGTTGAGGGAGTTGGTTTTGAACTCTGTGGGATAGCAGCATGATGTGTGCGAGTGTGAGAAGCCGCTTTATTTGTTATGTGAACTTTTAAACTTATAGAAGGAGTTGTATGGTCAGATGTTTTGAAGATGACCAATGAGTGACGGCAACCACAGACCAGCTTAACACTGGACATTGATTGGTTATAGTTTGAACTCACCTCAACTACTAGCACCATTGCTAATGCTACAACCACTACCACTCCTAATACAAATACAATGCAAACGTTTTAAAGAAGGAAGAGCATTCTGACTCACACTGAGCTCTACATTTTTTAGAACAACACAGGTGCTGCAAAAAACTCAAAAACTAATCCTGAGTGAGAGAAGCCTTTAAACAAAAAGACATTTGTATGTATTCAGCGAAGGTCGATTTCCCACACTCGCCCAGGTCTCAATATGAAACTGCATTAAAACTGTTGACATGTGAGTTTTTACAGTGACTTGGCTCGGCCGCTTGACCCGCACCTGCCTCGTGGTGCACCTGGACTTTTAAACAATGAGGCCATAAACACCACAGTTTCTCTACAGGGGCTCTCCCGGGCACACACACATAGCCACAGGTGGAAAGTCCTACGAATACTACTGTAAAATAATATATTTTTGAGGTTTTTGTACTTTTTGAAGTGGACTCTTGAACTTGTGTTCGAGTAGGTGTTCTGTTCTCTATTCTCGTGTCATTGCAATAAGCTACATAGAAATCTTGAGAGGTACTGCGTGTACTAATCAAAAACAACACGGCAAAGCCAAATTGAGCTATGCTGGTTGTGGTTTGGCACAGTTTGGAACTTGAATTATTACATAGTTTATTAAAGCAAGTTTCGCACACAAGATTGGTCAAAGATGCTTCTAGAATTGTGTGAGGAGTTGTATTTTTCAGAATGCGATTGCAAAACTTGTAATGTGTATCAACAGGCTATTTCTGCCATTCCACTGAGAACATAGGAGGTGATGGAGCAGCACTCACCTACGACGTCGAGGGTGTATGTGTGGTTAATGGCTCCAAACTCGTTTTCGACCAGACAGGTGTAGTTGCCTTTGTCCGACGGAACCACGCTCTCCATGATCAGCGTCCAGTGCTGGCTTCGTACCTGCCGAAAGTAATCCAAAAACATGGGTTACAAAATCAATAATGCACAAGTATTTAGATTAGATTAGATTTATTTCCAAACATGCAACTGTAAGCTCAAGTATGGTACTACAAGCCAAAAAAAATCACTTTTACTTGCTGGAGACTACAGACCAATTCAAATAAAGACATCTTAATTAACTATTTCAGGGCCAAAGTAATAGAATTGCGGCATGAACAATTTCCAGACAGCTTTTTTACATATGAGGAGTTCATTTGCAAAAACAGATATCTCCGCTTTGAAAATGCAATGTTCATTATGGCTCATCATGGATCATAGAGAGTGCTATACCATATATTTTTTTAAATCCCAGATTGGTGGGTGTGACACAAAAAGTTTACTGAGCTTGAGAAGTTTACTTTTCATCTTAAGGTAATTAGAGCCAGAGTTAGTTGGAGCAAAACTTTGTTCATGAGCACTTCAGTGGACTTCATTGAGCTAGCTATCAGTTTAGCTTAGTCCATCTGTATACAGTCTATCAGTGTAGGCAGTATATTCAAAATAAAGTGCAGATTTGTGCCGAATCCGATTTGATAAAGATACAATTGAATGGTGAATTTTCACTCCAGGATTTCTTGTTATGTTTTGTGTGTTCTTATTAATTTAGCAATTTTCTTTACATGAAAATTACCCTTGAATACATGTCATGGTATCAACCCATTTGTAAAAAGAGCAATACTGTTTTCCCTTTAGTTTGACAGCGGTGCTAAGTGACGCGTACAAAGCAATTCATGTTGATATTAACATTGCATCAGCCCTTCCATTATTCATTCCTTGTACTTGTAGAGGTCTGTATGGTGAATCGAACAAGCACAATGTCAGCAAGTTGCCTGGAACACGATGCTTTTGCCGCTTAAACTTTAACCATCATAGCGACCGTGTTTGTAAACCCCATTTGAATAGACCCGAGTTTGCGTTTCTGCATGGGAGCAGGCAGGACCAGTTCTCCCTGATTAAGTTACCTGAGCTTTCTCAACACGTTTCAGACTCACTTTCTCTGTGCCGTACTGTCTAGGGGCATTTAACCCTTACGCCCCGGGCCTTGGGTTTCCGATTGTCGGGAAGTAAAGGGGGCTGTTTTGAGTTTATGGGGAGGGAGGGGGGTGCAAAGAGCGGACAGGAGGTGCATGGGTGAGCAATTTCAATTTCACACAAGAAACGCTGGGTTTCCTCTGTTGACTTTATCTGCTTGTCCACTGAAGGGATGAAGGGAAGACAGTGGAGCTATGGGCATAAAAGTACTTACAAGGACTGAAAATGCATTGTGAAGAACTTGTGATAGTGCGAGTAGTAGTGGTATTGGTATTGGTCTATTGGGATTGGATAATAAACCGTGCATTATTTTCTTTTTATTAGCTTTATGATTCGTAGTACTGGGAATGAACCAGGATTAAACTTAGAACTGAACCACATTTCCTTAGTCATGCCAGTTAGAATGGTACAAGGTTAATTTTGTTATTTGATTATATAATGATAAGGTTTGCTCAAATATGGACCAAAGAATATTTTCTTAATATTTTGTTGTTTTATTTGATTCTAATTGTAGGATTTCCTGATCAATATTCGGCCACTGTTTTTGTGATTTTGAGCAATTCAAAGCATGCTTTGATTTGTTGATTATAACTTTGAGCAGCTTATTCTTTGTGACACTTTGGAAACCGTTTGCTTGTAAAATGTGCTAAATTATGGAGTGGATTAGAAAATATTTTTAGCATGATAAAAAAATACCTTACAATGGCACACATGGTAAACATACAACTGAAACCCGTAGAATAAGCACGACAACATATATTTCCATTTTAGAGTATGCCTCTATAATTGGCTGCCAGTGTGTGTGGTTGTGTTTACCTTGTAGCCCCCCATGCGGTCCTCCTGCCGGAATGGCCTGTTGTTCTTGAGCCATCGCAGTTTGGGAGTGGGTTTGCCTCCTGCAGCACAGCGGAACTTCACTGTGTTTGCAGCTGGCACCGCGTGAAGCTTCTTCTCCATCTTTGCCGACGACGTCCAATACGGGGCACCTGGGGGGGTGGAGACACCAGGGTGAGTGGGAAGGATTCACTATTGGCACTTGAGGTAATGACTAGGAAAGATTGGGCATTTCAATCAATCAATAGCTTGCGTTCATGTGAAATCACAATATTCCAAAGGGCCAATAGTTTAGAAATTTTGGTGGAGGGTTGCTTTCCTGGTTGATTTATCTGCAATTCCTGAGTCAATCCACATGAAACAAAAAAACTCTCCCAAATGTCTGCATCATATATCATTTGTCATGTCGTATTTGTTGATATATAATTTTCCATCTGGTTTTAAATTATTTTATCATAAAAGGTGTCTAGAAGTGGTGACAATATTCAAAAAAACATTGGCCAGCAGAAAAACACTTTCCGAATGGTGGGTTTGTGAATCTGTCTTGATATTGAATAAAAAACATTTCAGCATTTTCAACATTTCTTTCATAAAATGCTCGTTGGTCAATGAGTTGTATCGCTACTTGCTCTTCAGCTAAAATAAATGGCCCCAACGTGAATGAAACCTGTAACAATTCACTGTTATATTCCATCAGGTTTAGTGTGTAATACACAAAAGGCCTTCTTTGCTTACTAAGAAATGTTCAAATGTGTTACTGATTTGCCATGTAGTATAGTCACAAAAACTTTCACAGCTCAATTTACAAATAATATTAACACAAGCTTTTTCTATGCTTATTTCCACTCAGAGATACTCAGAGATTGGACAACATCTCTGAGAATTATTTGTTCCAGGCATTCTGTAAAAATCTTTTACAGTACAGCAGTGTAACATTTAACAGACTTGAGGCTATTGGCCTGAAAAAAGCAGATCCAGAGAGCGTGACTGCGAAAAAGCCAAGGCTGAACCAATCTTAACACTTTCCAAACACCACTTAGATGTGACCCGCAACCAAAACGCAGCCCTTACGCACACATTTGCAAACAACATAATGAAAACACAGACACCCAGTGCAGTCTTGATGTAGTGTTGCTAGACTCTGGGGGGTGGACTGGGCGTTGCCAACAGTGTAACTGGACCATCACATTCAATTTCATCTCATTCCATTTAGCAGCTTTTTTCTTCCCTCCACTTCCTCCAATTACCACAGCTCTTCTGTTTATCAGCCTGTCACTTGGCTGGGGGTGATTTTCACACTAAGGAAACCATTATCAGACATCAAGGAATGAATTAGCCTAGTGGACACGTTTTCAGTAAGGCGTTAAAAAAATTTGATCTAGGTAAAAACTGCTACGAAAAAAACAATTAGGAAAAAATATATATAGTATAGTTTGTTTATTGTGATGAAAAATGATAATGGGGTAGGGGTTGCATAAAACTTTTGTCTTCGTCTTACTCCTGTCCTTAGTCACACAACAAAAGGGCAACTAAAATGAAATGAGGTTATATTATCTGGTAGATTTAAGTGCTACCTCATAGTGTCGCTTGTGTAATTATAAAGATTGATTTTTGTTACATTCTGTGAAGCCAAACAGGGAAAGTGGTGAAATTCTGTCCACAACAAAATATTACTATTTATTCATAGCATTCATATCTTAATATGTGGTTATGTGGGTGCATTTTAGCCAGATGCACAGCGATAACTGCATACTATTGGGATGTGCCCATTGCAATGACTGAACAGCCTCCAGACTTCATCAAGACTTCCTGAAATCTATCACTTCCCAAGCTCCCATTTGTCCCAGCTCCAGCTTGCTTTTCTCAGCTGGACGTTCCTCCGTAGCCCCCCTGTTGCCCCCCTCCTTCTCGCTTTCTCCACTCTCTGCACCTGGAAGCCTGATTGCCTAAACAGATGGGACTCCAAGCTCAAAGTCAAACAACAACCCAAACGGCCCATACACTTCCCTCTCGCTTCTCGTTTAAGTACGGACGACACAGGGAAAACCCGGCAGATAACGCCGTTTCAATATTGCTCATAAACAAAGAAATAAGACCCTGGAGATTTCTTGATGCACCATCCCCCCTTCCAAACGCTGACAATCCGGCCTCTTCACTCTGCACACACTATCTGACACTTGCCATGAATTTCTCTGGCACGGACGACCGGACAAGACATGCATACTTGGATGGACAAGTCGATAAACAAAGCTCTTCCTTCTTGGACTGGTGCAAAGTAGAATTTAAGATATCTCCACATTGTAGCGTTATGTGACAATACAAGAAGTTTGTATGCTTCTATTCGAACAACAAATTGTAAAAAAGAATGTACTGATTAAAGTAATTATAGATTATGGTTGGATTTGCAAACTTTTTGTTGCAAATCTCGAATCTTGTAGATGAACTGCAAAACATCAAATGCAACTGTTTTTGCATTTGCCATACTTGCATAAACAAACAAGAGTATTGTTTGAAGGACAATTGCAGACTGATCCAATCTTTAAGTCTCGCAAGAACTCTGACTAAATTGACTCTGATTAGTATTACAATGTCAAGAGGAGACGATACATGATCCAAGACTTGCCAGATTATTTCAGAGATAGATTGAATTAGCTTTATTGCATTAGTCGAGATGGAAATAGCATGTTTTGCAGAGGCAGTCCACTCCGACATTGACAGACGAGGTGCAGAGTAGCCCATTGCGAGCCTGTCTCTCCGTGATGACCCCTGGTCCCACACTGGCGGTCAGGTCGGACGATGAGGTAAGGACTTGAAAGGTGAGCGGAGCTGTTTCCCAGGCTCCTCCGTCCAGCGGGGCACTACTTCAATCACGACAGTACCCCTCTCCTCGCTCCCCTCTGCCTCTGCTCCAGATGGGGCCTGACTTTCGCTGTCCAGGACCCCCAGATCCCCCTGCATCCGGACCCCCGCTCCACGGCTGTTTGTCCCGCCGCAGAGCCAGGGTGAGCTGAGGTTATCTGACTGCGATGACGCCAGACATTTCTCCACTCTTAAATGCTTCCATGTTGAGTGGTTGTATAGCCCCTGATGTATTGTGAGCAAAGCAGTTTTCTTTGGATAAACAATATTAATGGCAGTTGAATTCATATACTTATTGACTCTATGAATTAGCCATTTTTTGTGCACATTTGTTGTAAACTGGTTTATTCACAATACAGTATATCTACTATTACCTGGATATTTTACACAGGAACAGTGGTCGAGGTCAACAGGTCTTTTCGAGGTCATTTTACATAGATAGAGAGTGAAACTGAGTTTTTCTCCAACTCAACCTCTATGATCCTACTGTTTTTATTTTGATATTGTCTGTTCAAATTGGCTTCTTCCACATTCGGCAGATACTATGGGTAACGGCAACACTCAGTAAGTGCACTCTTAAGTGAGTGCAATTGATTGCTATTATCATCATCGATCATTCTTGTATCAATAATATCTTTCAAAAGGTCCTAGTAGTCTCGAAAATATAAGAAGGGCATCTTCCAGTCCATCTAAAATTGGCTTGAGACCAACTCAAACTTGTAATCAAATTATTGATATATGCTTATGTATAACAGTGCTACACATATTTCAAACAATCCCAGGTTATAATATATTTTCACTCCATTGAAAAATAATATAATTTTCAATCCATTTCCTTTTGGCTGAGGGAGAGATTATGAATTGCATTACAATACATCTCATATCAACAAGTCTGGGCCAAGTCTCCACGTGGCCGCTTAAAAAATTACATCAGTCTACCCCTCCCACCGGTGTCCCCCCTGAAATCAGTCTTCTCTCTCATCTCTCCTCCACGTCTCCTCCAATAACACCACTCTTTTAATGACGTAGCACAAACTTGCCAGGTCTCTACTGCTCCAACTTCTCCTCCGTCAAATCAGAACGCTTTGTTTCACTCTCTGGCCCCGTGCCCATGTCTATTTGAAGTTTGGGGGGAAGTTGAATGCATTTTCACCACGCCCACATACACCCACCTCCTTCCAAACCCCTGCCAAAACTTTGAAAACTCTTGGTCATGATGATCTAACATCTCCTACTAGTTCTACCCTCTTGTTTTTTTACGTTTTCAATGATGAGTTGAAAAAGTTTTGCCTATTGAAAAACACATGAGAGCTTGCAAACTGCCAGTACAACTTTCTCTTTGTTTTGTTGCTGGATCTACTTTGTTTCCACTATTTTCTCTCTCCGTCTGTTTCTCACTCTGTCTCTCTCTCTCTCTCTCTCTCTCTCCCCATATTTAATGGATTTTAGGCAATTACAGTCAGCCGTAGTGGGGGAGGAGAACTGCGTGTGGAGAATTTTAACAAGATGTGGAAGCCCTCATCTAAAATGTGTGTGTTCGGGTGCAAGGCATGTGTGCACGTGGCTGTATAAACTAAAGACTAGCTGGAACGTTAGCAGGCCAGGTTTTGGAGCTGCAGACTTTCTCTTTCTCACACACAGAGGGACATCAGGTGCGTAACAAGCTCCATATGGGTGTCTTTTATAATGGATGGGCCCAGCTGACTGCATGGCTGGCTGGCTGGATAGATGGTTCTTTGGCTTGGCCCACAAAGCCAAAGTACACAAGAGACGCGAGCTGAAGGAATGTGAGGAATCCTTATATTCCCTGGAAGGCCTGGGAGACACACGTATCGTAACCACACAAACTTCAGAGTGAAGGACTAGACGGGAATGCTATGGAAAAGATGTTAAGTTCAAGGCTGAGGTGATTAAAGTTGGCCTCTCACAAACACAACCCAGTTTCTGGCCCCCATACCAACGTCTCCTTGTTCGTTAGAAAACCAAAACATAGGCGTCTTCTGATAGCTTTAAGGCATGAGGATTTGGTTGAAAATCAAAGCATGGCGTATGTATTTGGATTGAAGAATCAAGTAGAAATTCAATTATACAGAGTTGGTTTAGCTACTAGTGATTTGTTGCTGCTGTTAATGGCCATGCACAATGTCACACAGGAGCGAACAAACAACTGCCAAAGCAAAACCAAGCACAATCAGAAAAGCAGACGGACCCTCAGCATTGATGGCAGGACACAGACTAATCTAACTTCACTCTGTGGTTTGTCCCTCCATACTCACTTAACTGCTCCCCGTCGCCCCCTGTGTCCTCCGAGCGCTCAGTATCGTCCTCGTCATCACCCGATGAGATGGCATCTGCACAGAGTAACCAGTGTTACTGCCACCCCTCTCCAAACAGCTGCAGCTGAGCATGCATCAGCACTGACTGACATTCACAATGTATCAAACATATCATAACTCTGAGATGAGAGCAGTACACCGTGCACTTTTGCACTGCCAATACATGTAGACACACAGGCAACATTCACTAAATTTAGAATCATTTCACCTGGACATGCACCTGTGTTTGTGTTTATGCATAAAGGACAAACAGCAGTAACAAACTCCACACCAATAATCAAGAGCTGCACTGTCTCCTCTGATACACACTTTCACTCAACACAAATGCACTTTCCAAGAGGACAAGTGTCCAGGGCACTATGTGCATGGGCTTTAATGAGACCCTTCCCTCCATGGCCATGCCCTAACTGGTCTAACCCTGCTCTGTCTCCTGACTCACCTGTCACATTGACTATGAAGCAGACTGTGTCTGGGCCCACACTGGTGCAGGCGTACAGGCCTGAGTCCTTGGACGTAGTATCACGTATCTGCAGCAGGTCCTGCTCTATCAGTGTGCGATTGTTGGTGCCCAGTGAGCGGCCATCTTTGGTCCAGGTGATGGTTCCCTTCAGTGGCAATGGGCAGCTCAGCTTCAGCACCTCCCCCGGGTGCACTGAGCACAGCGTGGGCTTTGAAATGTGGTATTTGTTGGACGCCTCTGCAGGGGTGAGGGCAGGTAGGAAGAACGGGGACAGACAGAAGGGAGAGGAAGAGACAAGCCAGAGTGTAAGAAATAAAATCACCACATGAACCCATGGATGCAATTCAATCATTGTATGCAGAGCAGCGCTACAGAAAGAATAGGCCAATTTTAAATCACCACATAATCATTCCCACAATCATCCCAAAGTAGAATACCACTTTTCTGTGACAGAATCTATCATTGGTCCGTATAGATTTAGAGCATGCAGTTAATCTCCCCCAGTGTTTACAGAAAATCAATGCAAGTGAAAATTGGACTGTCCTTTTGTTCCAAAATACCTTTTCTGCCTGAGGCCAAGCAGCATATGTGAACATTTGTGAGTATATGAGCCACACTCCACACTGTTTGTCCATCAGCAAAGCAAGCAGCCAGAAGACAAAGCAGTATTTCAGCAGGGGCAGAGGAGGGGAGAGGGTATTGGGTAATAATTTTTGGTTTTGGACGGCAGTTTTTGACCTGACCATAGTCTGACTCCACTGGTTTCCATCACTTTCATAACAAGGCCATGGAGGACTTATAACCCCTGCACAAAAGCCACTGGCCAAAGCAGAGTCAGAGGCTCAGTGTGACTCCAAAGTGCATAAAACCTTCACATCTGGGAGACAGTCCAAGTCTGTGTGTGTTTGCATGTGCGTACATTGTGTCCACTGAATCACATGGTCTGTATTAGGAATATATGACAATAAGGCATAAAAAAAAAAGCATATCCAACATACAGTAACTATTTGTTGGGTATATACAGACAGCTACCAGTTCATCATGCCATTTTATACTCTTTGCACTAATACCAAATAGAGGCTAACTGCTCTATTACAGAATCCGAAGTACTTTTGTTAGTCGATAAAACTGCAGTGCACTATTTCATTTTAAAACATTTCACTATTTCCTCTAAAGGGAAGCAGAATCAGTTAAACAAGTGGCAATGATAGATACCATGGAAATACAATTCTCAATCTCAACATTTCTGCTAGTATTTGTGGGATATTTTCATTGTAGTAGCAGTACGATGACAAACAAAATATCTCTTTCTACATTAGTCTTCTGTGTAGGAGACTGTAGTCGTAGAGGCACGAGCCAGCGATACAAGCATGTTTTTAAGAGTCTAAATATCCCCCACGGGCAAGTCAGCGCACACAGGTACAGTCCCAGCATTGTCTGAAATCCGGAAATAATTAACCTTCTCCACAGAGCACTAAGACTGAGAGACTGTGGGTGGCCTGATAAGAGGTGGAGCACAGCTGATTGATGGAAGCATTCTCAAATACCTTTTAAGGCAGGATTTTTCAAACCAGACGCTTTGACATTACAGACTCCAGACTTGTCTTAAGGTTAGGGGCATGCACGGAGAGAAGTGTGGGTGTTTGGCATGGGAGTGTTATGAGAAGTGGGTGAAATATGGTCCTAAATGCTACGCTGTCAAAACGGGTTGAACAATATGAGATTTGTGGGAACTAGTATGTTCAAAGCGGAAGATTTAAAGGTTTTTTTTACATAGAGATTTGAATGGAAACTTTGACTGTTTGCTTGCTTTGGTCATACTGTACCGCATTAGTAAGGTTATCACACATATATAACAGGTATTTGGCATGGAAGATGATTAGTATGGACTGTCATTGCGCAAGTTGGTATCTATAGGGTTCTGTTATCAAACTGTTGTACAACTACCTGACGACAGATGTCAAAGTTGGACTGAGCAATGAAAAGTTTCCATTTTGTACTATGAGAGGAGATTTCTTTTTTTTCAATAATGACTAAGCAATGCACCACCTGTACATGCACCGCAAGTCTTTTCAGCTGTCAGCACTTCCTATGAGAAACAAGGAGCATTACTGAAAGACAATCCCATGAATAATGTTGACAAGAAAAGGTTTTCGCCCTGGAAGGGAACACTGTCTCCCGTTAGACAAACACACACGTGTGAGCTGCCTGCATCTTTGTCCCATCACCATCTGTCCTGCTCCATCAGCTCCGTCCTCCTTCCGCTCTCCCTCTGCTCCTTATCCTCCCACCCCTCCACTTCACACAGAGACCCCCATGACCCCGCTGACCTGACCCTGACCCGCCAAGACCTGTCAACACCTCCGACATGCCCAATTCTTCATGGGAAACTTGTGAGGAGCGAGAACAGCCAGAGCCTATCCCTCCATTACAGACCAGGACCAGAGGGGGCATAAGTGGCAAGGCTGGGCAAGTGGTTTTGTCCTAGAGGGCTTCATAAGATATAATTTGCATCTGGATTGGTTGTGTTTATGCTTCCCAAAGTAGGGTTTGTGGCTCAATGGGGGTCCTCACAAGCACTTCAGGGAAGGGCCTGAAGTGCTTTGCTCAACACATCGAACAAATGATTAAATCAAACATGTATTTGGTTATAATTTACAAATCAAATGAATTGATTTCAATGTAATGTATTATTAGATGGCATTTTGGTTTGGGGTAGCTTTATAGAGAACCTAAGTCTATATTTTAAGTGAATGAATGAATGCTTTTCCAAGATCTATCATCTATTGTTTTTGGCATAATATTTCTGTTCTGTCCAGATACCATCCTCGAGAATCCATTACACTCACATGGGTCTTAGATAAAGTCTTGTCCTCTCTTATCACACTGGTTCTATTCTATACACAGAGCTGAAGACTTGAAACGCTTCATTTCAGGATTTTTCATCTGGGGAAGTTCGGGCCGCCTCAAGATCCTCTGTCTCATTCACAAATGCTTTTTCCTCCATCTCTTGTCAAAGCACCTGTCTGCTCCTCTTTCATCAATATCATTTCTTGTATCTCGCCTGGAGTCGGTCTGTTCCGCGGCTATTACACGTGTCCATTAGGTGTGAGGAGGCTGCCCACTCCACACACCATTTCATCTCTCACACACTTTTTTTTTTACACACAATAATTAGTCTAGCAGCTCAAGATGTCAGGCCCATGCTCGCAAACGTCTTCACATCTGCTCAGCCGTCTGTCCTGCTGTCTGTCAAATCACTCAGAGCCGAGAGAAGGTGCGAGGAAAGCTTTGTTCGCACTCAAAGATTCTCATTCTAAAACATTCATGCCAGAGCTTTTTAAACTTTGAAAACACCACCAACTTTATTGAATAATTCTTTTTAAAATCTCCCTTTTGGCTAGGAGATGAGGAGAAGGTTTTTCCTACTATCTAAAGCCTGAGACGGGGCTCAACATGAACATGGACAAAAGCAGTGTTAGTTGAATGTCTAATATTGCTAGTGTTGTCACAATACTATATTTCAAAATAGATCATTCATTCATCCTAGACAAGAATAATCTAAAAAAAATTATTCAGCTGTAATTGTTGGACTGGACTTAAAAAACTTAAAATTTTGAGTAAAAAACTTTTACTCAAAATCATAGTTCATACAAGTTATTCTGCAATAGTTTAAAATGTATCAAGAAATGTCAAATTTTTTGTTTATGTACTTGTTTTAGTATTGATACTTTCTCAAATTAGTATCTAGTTCCAATACTACCCTTAGTACATGAAGTTAATCTAACCCCTTTTCTATGATTAAACAAGCAGAATATATATGTTTGTGTAAGCTCTCAGTCGTACAAGCTGAATATATATTTATGTATTGTTTTTGTATTTTAACTAATATATCTCTTGCTTTAACTACACCAGAGAGATCCTACAGGCTGTAACACAACTGCTCGTTCTTCGTTGAGTACATTTTGCTCTATTAACTTTTCACAACAAGTAAATGAGAAACTTCTAATAAATGAATCCCATGCTGTCCAGCTGTACTCCTGAGTTCAATCACTGGTCAAGCCATAGTTCAAAAGAAGTACATGTGTTTTATTAAAAGTAACTTATTATTAGCCGAGTTGATGGATTACTAAATGTCCACAACCTCTTCTCACTCATGTATCACAGTACGCCTAAAACCTTTACTTAGTTGCATATATGGACTCTCCCTTTGTAGAAAGTATGTTTTCTTCAAAGCTCTTCATTTCACCTATAAATCTACGCCCTGCCCTGTTGCTCCACTCGATGGGAAAACTAAATGTAATGAGTCCCATCTCTCAAGAGCCACAGCTAAATCACATTAAACAGCAGCGCAGCCTGATCTGGCCTCTGCATCCTCCTCACGTCTTCTCATCCTGGGACTTAAGGCGCTTTTTTGGAGTCTCACTGATGTCTGTGTCCTTTCTCATTCAAATCCCCCTTTTAGACTTTTTATGATGACAAAGGGGCTGCTGGATGAACTGGCTATTGCTGGTGTCCATGGCAACAATCCCAGCTCCCACAACCCCCTCGACATACCCCCCATGTCCCGAACCTAACCCGACCTCTTTAGGCGCAGCAGAGGACACCCCTTTTGTCTGGAAAACTGTTTTACTAAACTTAGGATTTGAGCATTTACAACAGTGTAATGTGGTCTATTTCATCTTTGTAAAAATCAATAGTTTTTTGCAAACAATTCCTGATATGAAGGATTTTTGCTTGTCATTCCCCATTCAGAAGATAAAATATTTGGATTTCTATTGCCTAAAGCTGGGTTAACTAAATTTCAAACCACCAAAATATAAACTATGTAATACAATCCATCTAACTCGTCCTCTCCTCTCTTAAACAGTCTGGTTCCATCACTTGTTTTCACACTCATGTATTTTTCATATAGAAAAGTGAAAAAGAGAGGACCACCCTCCCTCAGCCAATCAGCTCTCAGCCAAAAGCGGCTCACAGGGCTTGTTGCCAAAATTGGAAAGATTCTCCCTTCTATACTTGGATGTGGTTTGCAACTGCATTTGTTTTCTAGCACATTCGTATATACATCTGTATTTGTGGTCTTGTAGGTATTTCCAGGTCCTCATACTATTTCACTTTGTTGAATTGCATTATTTATAAGTAGAGAGACATACATGGACTTTATCTACTATACTTGTCTGGTATGAGCTGAAACAGAGCTTCGATAAGACACATTGTGAGCACATCTCCCAAAGTAAACGTCCAGTCACAGGTACACACAGCCTCTGACTCTCTGTGAGCCTTTTAGATTAACACCAGGCAGCAACAGGCTAATAAAACTCTGCGTGGAGGTCGTATATCAAGTCCAAGTGCCCCTGGGTCACTCCACCAGCCTTCCTTTCTCCACTGCACCACATTTGTTTGGAGTTCAAGTCCAGTCACACATACACACTAAAGGCTATTAACTGGCCAGCTGACACTTTTATACTTTTACGGCGCGGCTCCTACTGTGTGGACAGACGATTACAGATGCAGAGATGCTTTGACTTTCTCACATCGGCAAACAAAAGATATACGCACTCCGGTCGTGTTGACTTTAGTTGTTCCTGGTAAGAGGGCTATTTAATGTGGGTAAATGCTCTGAGAAGTCCCATAAGCAGAAGTTACATAATCATGACGTTATTTCTGCTTATTAAGTTGTCATAATCAGATTCTGCTCAAGTTTTGTTGGTTTGATATATGCTTAGCCGTCACAGGTTGCAAAACACTACTGACAGTTTTAGTTTGGACTGTTTCATTATGGCAATAATGTGATTGCAATATTTGTATTTGTAAAGCATATTATCACAGACCAGAGTCACAAAGAGCTTTATAATTTGTTGAATCTTCCATTCACTCATAACACTGGTAATCTGCTATTGTCGCCGCAGCTGCCCTGGGACACACTGACAGGAGCAGGACTGCCCCGCAGCTGCTGCCACTGGATCCTTCGGCCACCATCATTCACTAAATAGGATTCAATATGAATTAAATATGATTTTATTATTTCAAAAAAATACTTACACTGTCAAATGTCCCTATAATGATAACATTAAAGCTGGGGTACCTCATTTTTCCCATAGATAGTCAAATCTAAAAGAAAGTTATATTTTGCATACTTGTAAGAAAGAGCCCTGTAAGTCACTATGTGATTCTTTGGGCTGAGAGCTGATTGGCTGAGTGAGGGTTAGGATCTAAAAAGATGATCTAAAGATGTGACAAAGTCATCTGCGTTCTATTTGTCAGCCTTCACTTACTATGATCTGTGCAAACACATTTCGTATAAAGCCAATGTAACATTCTGCTGACACACCTTGTAAACTGGCTCCATTGTTGGACAGCTGGGGGTATTTTAGTCACTAAGCAAACTTTTCACGAGCTAAACTATAGCATAGATACAGAAGTGGCAACAATAGCTCCGTTATGAAGCAAATCCGCTACACTGCCACTGTTTCAGCAACCACCTGTAAACAAACGGACACAGGGCCACCAGCGGAGCAGCAGGCGTGGGCTCCATAGACATTGAAACGCAATCTGATGGATCTACGACAATTACAGCTCCCACACGCTGAGCAGAGTGGCCTGAGAGTGGCTCCAGGGCAGAGGCTCCAGAGGAGGGGGAGGCAAAGCAAACTAACCAGGGTTTAATCATCCACCAATCTGTCTTGGTGGATCACAGCGCCTGAAGCAGCTGATCACAAAACTAGAAGCAAATGTGTGAAATTACGTGTAAAGAGAACAGTTGGTGAGCTCTTTGAAGTTACCTGAGGCTACAGCATGGATCAAGATACCATTGCTCCGACAACCCCCACGTTTTCACCACCTGCTATTCTTTGCTTATTGTTTTTTTCATATTTTCTTTCAGTTACTATTTGACGCTAAGGGCAGGTCCTCTGTTTTTATTTTTTTTTTTCCTGAAAACACAGTTCTGAAGATGTGACTGAGGCTAAAAATACATGCACATGAAAACTGGTGAACCACACTTTTTTGAGAGCAAGCAAGGTTTTGGTAATTTTTTTGTGGTTTGAAAATTAGGTAACCCAGCTTTAATCAGAGCCCTAAAGATCAGTTGCCTCAATGGCACTTTGCTGTAAGTGCAAGTAAAGTTGTTAACTCCAGTCCAGTGTGAACATCTCCGTTGATCCAATCACCGCAGCTGGACAGGACTAAAATCACATCAGTGCTTCTCGTGTGCAGCGCTGACCCCGGATCAGATAAAAGGGGTCACTTCTCTGTTGGTCATGTGACTTCTTCTCATTCAACTCCCTAATCTCCCCCACCTGACCACACCGCTGGATAATCCCTCCGCTTAAAGCACACAAGTCAAATATGCACAAATCCTCTTTTCTTAACAATGGAGTAACTTTTTAAACTCCTCTCATAGTGCAAGATTAAATTTATCACAGGAGATATAACCTTCCAAACTTTTATCCTGCTGGCTTCCCTGGATAATGATTCTAAGTCTAGTAAATTACATATTCCTAAAACTTACCAGCCCAGTCACACGAAAGAAATTGTTCTTTGTTAACACAGAAATAACCCCAGACATGGAATAAACATTTTTTTAAAACTCATTTAGTGTTTTTTGTAGCTGATTGAATAAATTATTGGTCAACTAAAGATATTGATTCATTGATTACAAGGCTCTGTGTTGTGCTGGCAAAACCTCTATTGAGTAAAGAAAAAGCTATCTTGAACAGACCTCATGACCCAAACTGTGCCGACACAAGCACATAGGTGGCAAGAGTTCAAACAATGACAAATATCTCCACAACAAATACTAATTTTTGTCTGAAAATGGGCATATTCAACAGCAATTTCGCTTCTAAATGTCAAAATAAGACTGCCTCATTCCCAAAATCCCATTGAATAAATCAGCCTCACTAATAGAACAATACATGGGATCTCTATGAGGACAAGTGAGCATGAGGATGTCTGTATTGCATTCGTTCTTAATTCTATGTGGAATTTCAACTTTCTGTTTCTAGCCCTCTTGATTTTTTTGTTTATGCAATTTTGGACTCCATTTTTAATGCACTGTGATTCTGTTTGCACTCTGAGTTACCTTGTGTATGAACTGCGCTATAAAAATGAACTTGCCTTTCCTAAAACAAAAATTAAATTGAATATAAATCAATTGACCATACGACTATAAAACTATTACACTAAGTTTCTAAAAATCAGTGCTCTGTCATGTACTGACTTAATGAGAAGAACCGTTGTGCCCCTAAAACACGAAACATCAATGGAGAGGTTAGTAATGTGTAGGATCACCCAGCATGGAGCCAAACGAGCAAAGACAAGACAACAACAACAAGTGTTTACCAGAGCCATTCATTAGCTCCACCAGGTAAAGGCAATACCTGACCCCCAGAACAGGGCAAAGGCCAAAGCACAAAGAACAAGAGCTTTCAAATGATTCTAGCTTACAATTAGCATCATGATGAAGGCCTAGGAACAAAAGCCCTTCTGTCAGGAATGTGCATTTCCATCCATCACAACAAACTAACAACAGACGCCACCAGTGGAGACAGGGGAAAGAAATAGTCAATGTTTTTGCTGAACATGCAAAAATGGGCTTATTAAAATAATTGACTTAGAAAAGGTTGAAAGACATGGCTGTTTTTCTCTCTCTTACAGCTCGTCCGCAGCCGGGGAAGGGCACCCGCGCTGTGCCAGTGCAAACAGTGACCCACCCATGTCCTCCCACACACCAGCATACCACTGTGCACGGTGCGGACTGCCAAAGGTAAAGATCACGGCAACCACCACATGCTGGGGTTGGACTAATGTGAGCCGTCCTGTCAAATCAGACGCTATCTAAACCTTGAGTGGTGATGTTGCGAAAATAGGTAGGTGACTGAACCGTCTTGTCAGAAACGGTTTCTTGTGTTTTAATAGTGCAGGCGATAAATCACTGTCATTCACCATATTCCCACGCAGCCAACCGGCTTCATGTAATCGTTTTCCACTTCAAAATAATTTGGTACTCAGGAACATCACGAAATAACATAGAAAACTACGACATAGCTTAACTTTTACTATATGGCTAAGATTTAAATCAGGAAATGCTATAGTGCCCCTGTCCAAATGCACGTGTTTGTTAGGCTCACATGAATCAAACAAACGATAATTTCCAAAACTTACTGTTTTGTAAACTTCTGAATTAATGGCATAGACACAGGTTTTAAGGAAATATATTAAAGCTGGTGTACCTAATTTGTATTTTTTCATTAATAATGCATTTAGTTGACTCATTGGGAAGAGTCTTATGAAGGTGAATCAGAAAAAGCTGATCTAAATATATGACAGAAGCCAAAAATACATGCATGTGAGGAACTAGATAGATGGAATGTATTATATTTTGTATGGTTTGAAAGTTATGTATTCCAGCTTTACATAATAGAACACGGTATTTTCAATGATGCCACTATAAATGAATAGAATACAACATTCACTTCCATTCCATAATTACACCACTCTACATCGAAACCTCTTTTTCACTGCAAAAGTCTGCACTAGTTGCTCCAGCCTCTTGCTCCTTTCACTCTACATTGTATGTTGTCCTTAACATGGAGTGATTCTTACCTTCTGGCTCCTCTGTGGTCTCCTCGTCTTTAGCAGCAGTGAGGGGCGGCCGTGCTACGCTGAGCGACAGCAGAGAGAGCAGGAGCACAGCAGCCAGCAGCCGGGCCATCCCGTTAGAGAAGCCCCATACCCCCCTTCTCCACCGCCCCCTGGACACGGATCCCATCTGAGGACGTCCGGCAAACCATCAACTGCTGGAGGCTCGCACTGTCACTCACTGGAATCCTGCCAGTCGCCTGTCAAAACACCAGAAAAATGACGTTGTTATGAACAAATGGGTAAATTAAGTCTATTCCTGATTTGTTTTAGTCCCTGATGTTGTTCAAACTGAGGCTTTAAATGTCTGCTCCTGATGCCTTCTAAGCCCTTAATCGAAACGCTTGTCAGATTAAGTGTGTTGTCGCAGGTTTGAATGAGTAAAAAATCTATGCTAGAGTCCACTAAGGCCAGAACTTTAAACCTCACTATCTTAAAACTAGCCTGAGCACAGTTAGAAGACGTCAATAATACTAAGGGGACATAATTGGTCAGGCACAAAAAATGTAAGATGAAGAAATGTCACAATTTTCACCCCCTGCTGTTGTCCTTATTATTATAAAACTGGCCTTTTCAGAGATTATGTAATTTCATTGTTCGTCAAACTAAAAGACTTTGCAATCTAACCATGAACAAGACAATTTATCTCTTTTCTATTCAAACATATTTCACGCATTCTGATATCAAACGCTCCACTGCTACGTCCAGGTCCTCTCGCCGCAGCTTGAGAACCACAGAATCAGCCTCAATCAACAGTGAACCACTATGATCGAGACTGTCACAAAATGCTGTCAAACTCGCTATGCCACAGACATACCAAGGCACTGAGGCACCAGCAGCGACACGTCCACTCCTCCTGCCGCCTCCAAACTCATTGTAAAGCAGTCCACAAGTTAGTCATTCTTATTATCCCGGGTAAAGCACTCAATCACTGCGCGTAAACGACCCATATCTCTGTGAGTCACCGCTTATTCAATGATGAGGGCTTTTTATATGGAAATGTGGGATCAACCCAAGCTCGTGTGGTGAGGGATTCGAATGCCACTTTATGAGATGTTCTGAATTGAAAGTAAATTGAATATGAAGCAGGATAAATCACTTTTAAGCATGCATGTGTAGCGCGCCATACGCACAATAGATCATTTTATCCCAGTGCGCAACAGATCAAACCTGTTGCTATAGTCGCTCAGTCTTGTCTCTATATACGGCACTCATATTCCCTCTTGCCAGCGCCTGTAATGTCTTAACTTGATTGTAAACGCGAGCTGATGACCATTAAAATGCAACAGAGCTGTGTTTGGGGCCACTCTCTGTCTGTGTGTGTGTGCAAACAGACATCTGCAGCACAAGCGCGCACCGCGGTCTCCAGAGGTTTGGTGAAGTCACGCTTCCCTGCGCTGCTTCCCACTCCAGCTGGAGGGATCGATTTGTGCAACCAGCAAACGCGTAGACGTAACAGGCTGGGACTATGAGGAGGAACTGGTCAAACAAGCCTTTATTTAAACAGTTTGAATAATTTATATATTCACAGCAGATTGCAATATGCGCGCTCGACATTTGGAGAAAGTGACGAAGATAGAAGTCCTTCCTTGCTAAACTAACGCACATGCACGAATGGATGCACCAGGAAAAACGTAGGTCTATATATGACTATAAATAGAGGTACATTTGGTAATGCATTGATAAGAACCAGTTTAGGTATTGGTTTTAGAACAATACGACCTCAAACTCCAGCACCGCATCTGTTGGCAGAATTTTACATATCAACGTGAGCCATACGCACTGCTCATTCTATATTAAATCAATGCAAAGTGAACTATAGCGGATCACACAAAAAACATATACATAACAGAATCAGTCAAACCTCTGCAGATGTGTCCGCAGTGCGTTGTGCGTCATGACAGCGCGAGCACGAGGCAATTCGCACCAAGTTGCGCGCTGCAGCCCAACTTTCATTTAACACACACACACACACACACACACAAATCAGGCTTTGAATGAATTTTCTTTGCCACTGATTAAATTCCTATTGAGATTCAAATCACTTGGCTCCCGCTGACAATGGAGGCTCATTTGGAGGCGCTCTGTGATTTAGGGCTCCAGCACCAAGCAGTGGAAAAACAAGTGTGGTCACGGGGTAATTGGCACCGTATAAGTGATGTAGAAAACCGAGCCAAGAAGTAAATAACTGGCGCACTGTTAATGGGGAATAAATCGTGGTGATGCAAGGCGCTGCGTGGCGTTGCTTTTATGTAAACATCTTTTTTTTTGTAAGAAAGTCGAAATATGATATATCTGCTATAGCGTGTCCAACGTGACACTGAGTTCTGAGAAGGTGTTTAGAGAAGTGTATATGTTTCAGAAACGTTAAACTTCAAGTAACTTCGTAAAGTCAATCTGGAAAACGAGTTGTGGTTTGAGAGAAAGAGCAACAGCTTGGTCTGTGTGCATTTGCCTCTGCGTAAAAGTGACCCATGAGTGCGTAAAAATATGAGAGTTTGGCGTACTTACGTGTAGAGCTAAAGTCGTGGAGGTATCTGTTTTGGCATGCACAGATAAGGGAGGAGAGAGCATGGGCTGAATCCACTCACAGGAATGCCCCGATTCCACAATGCAGCACCAAAAAAAAGAAAAAATCTCTAGTAAAGACGCGCGCAGGTCGTTTGGGCTTCAGCGCTCCTTCAAACGCATAAGTACTGACAGGTATAATCCAAGTTCTGTCCCAGTGTAGTCCAATGCCACGCAGAGAAATCCCACTTTCTTCTTTCACAACGCGTTATCCTTTTGGGAAGACTTCGCAACGCAGTCCCTCAGAAACTTCCAAAGCTCCTCCAAGTTGCTACATGCCCCGGTCTCCACTTGTCAAAGGCGTAAAGTCTGCACACACTACGAGTACAGAGTTGGAAGAGGTCGGAAACGTGTCGCTGTTCCAATGTGAAATGTCATAAAATCCGTTGCGATGTGAACTTGTCCCCGCGAAACCAGCCTCTCCCGTGCGTGTCTGCGTCTGCCAGCCCTAGTACTGTTCCTCAGACGCTTTGTCAGGTTTACGAGTTTTTTCTGCTCCTTACGTCTCCACACACAGACCTCCTCCTTCGCTCCAGTGGGTGTCATTCCCCCCCCGAGCACCCCCAGTTGTAATTCGAGCCGCTTCCTGGCTTCTGCCTTCCTCCGCCCATCACACTGCAGCGCTGCTCTGTCCCGCGCTCAGAGGCCCCTGTCTGGGTACGGGCTACGGTCCGGGCTCAGCCTCAGAGGGGACACCGCTGTACGCACGCCTCCTAGCGGCCGATGCAGTCGCAGAATGTAACAAGTGTCCCATTTGAGAGCAGTGGATGAGGTGAGCAGACAGAAACATGGGCACAATCATGTACATATTATTTGTTTGTGGTTTGTGTCAAAGTGTGTCTGCAGTTTTTTTTCCTTGCTTAAAGGCTCACAAGCCTAGATTGTCATCAGAAATTCATATGAGTTTGTTTGTGCGTAAATCTTTGGGGTAACTCAATTACATAAACATTACTACAACCAAATTACATTTTCAACTTAGTGTAAGATCTCTGTTTTT